TCACCGACTCCTGCGCAGCAGCTAACTCCCACTCCTCGCGAAGTTCACAGAAGCGCCAACTTCACCGCCACCTTTTACTCCAACTCCGATCTGTATCGTCGTTCACCCGGACATCGCGCCAGCGAAGACATCTGGCATGCACGAATGGGACACCCAAGCAACACGGTGTTAAACAATACAATCCGAGCAGGCGTACTCGACAAAGATTCACTACTCCTAACGGATGGAAGTGTCAGAATATTATGCTCTAGCCTGTAGTGGGGTGCTCTATAGCGAGTACAACCCTTTTAGGGTTTGCTATTTGTATCCTCATTCTTGCTAGTGCAATTCCTCTCCTTCTTTGCCTAAACTGTTTCTTGCCTAGCTAGGGCTTTCCTAGCTATGGCGCCTTCTTCTACTGCTTACTTTCACATGGTATCAGAGCGATATGCTCCTGGCCTGTGGGCCCCACCTCACTGCTTCCGCTGCTACTGCTACTCCCTGTCCGCCGCGCGCCCCGTGGTGCGCGGCGTCGAAATTAGGGTTTTTCAGCCCGCCGTGCGCCCCGAGGCGCGCGGCGGTTTTCTGCCCGCCGTGCGCCCCGAGGCGCGCGACGGGTTTCTGCCCCGTCACTCGGCGCGTCGCCCCCAGGAGGCGCTACGACGGGCGACGGGGACCCGCGCGTCGCCCGTCGTGGCCTGCGCGCGGCCCGTACAGCCGGCGCGCGGCCCGTACGGGCTGCGCCAGGCCCGCGCGCGGCCCGTACGGGCTGCGCCAGGCCCGCGCGCGGCCCGTACGGGCTGCGCCAGGCCCGCGCGCGGCTCGGGCCGCCTGCGCGCGGTTCGGGAGGCTGTGCCAGGCCCGTGGGCGGCCCGTTCTTCGCTGCCCCTGTCCTCCCCGCTGTCCCCCGTGCTTCTGAAGGCGCCCCACCCCTCCTTCTGCCCGTTCTCCTGGATTAGGGTTTGGGGGTGGGGGGTATGGGGGTGCAGCTTCTGTGTGCCGTTCCCTGCTCCTCCTCCTCCTCCTCCGTCTCCCTGTGCTGCAGCTGCCGCTGAGGGGGGGTGGACCTGTTGGAGCCGTCGGAGTGGTACTAAGGGAGGGTGAAGGGGGAGTGGAGCTAGGGGTGAAGCAGGGGGTGTGTGTCAGGGGGGGTGGTACTGTTTGGGGGAGGTTGAACGGAGGTTGCCGTCGTGTCGCCAGCAGCACCTGTAGTCCGGGGAGTTGCTCCGGTAGCCCAGTCGTAGCCACCTGTGCCAGTCGCCCGTGGGTCCGTTGCTCGTCTGCCGCTACTTTTAGCCGCGGGGCCAGTTACTCCAGTAGTCCGGAGCGCTGTTCCGGTAGCCGCTGTGCCAGTGTGCCTCCTGTTGCCCGTGTGTCTGCAGCTTCAGCCGTCGCCTCCTATCTCCTCTCCTCTCGCTGTCCCTCCTCCTCCTCACTTGCCCGTTGTGACTACCACTAGCTTTGCTCATAATTGTGAACTTTAAACTATTGCTTCCTGAACTTGTGCTCAGAATGTGTGGTGACATTGTGATCCACCCTGAGCTTGTTCTGTTTTGCTTGCTCTGCTGATTACACCCCACTTTGGCTATGGGGGTGTGTCAGAATATTATGCTCTAGCCTGTAGTGGGGTGCTCTATAGCGAGTACAACCCTTTTAGGGTTTGCTATTTGTATCCTCATTCTTGCTAGTGCAATTCCTCTCCTTCTTTGCCTAAACTGTTTCTTGCCTAGCTAGGGCTTTCCTAGCTATGGCGCCTTCTTCTACTGCTTACTTTCACAGGAAGCGAACTTCGACGAGCACGCGGAACATGTTTTACCTGCCCCGAAGCTGACTTACCGCATCGACCTTTCACTTCTCACCACAACCCCAGCGCACCAGCTTACGCACCACTTGAAAAAGTGTACAGCGACATCCTGTACAATCGCGAACTTGGACAAGGAGCATACAGCTACACCATCACGTTCATCGATGCCGCTACACGTTACGTTTGGCACCTTAATCTCCCGAGCAAGGACATGGCCTTCGAAGCCTTCATCGCTTGGCTCCCAGTAGCAGAACGAGAATCAGGCGAGAAACTGAAGAGCTTTCAGTCAGATGGAGGAGGAGAATACACCTCACAGAGGTTCAAGCAGTTCTTGGCAGAAAAGGGAATCAAGAGACTCATCTCGCTTCCTTACGCCCATCAACAGCAAGGCGTGGCGGAACGGATGAATCGAACTCTCCAGAACACCATGCGCAAATTACTGCGTGGCATGCGACTGCCCAATCACCAATGGCCTGAAGCGATGGACCACGCTGTCATGCTGCACAACTTGCTTTCGTCGTCGTCACTGCCGAACAACGCATCACCGCACCTGCTGTGGACAGGAAAACAGGGCAGCACAAAAATGTTGAGAGTTTTCGGCTGCATGGTACAGTACCGACCCCCATCTGCACGAGCCGGCCGATTTTCCCAACGAGCACAGTGGGGACTACACCTGGGCATCGAAAAGAATTACAACGCGTGGAAGATTTTCGACGTCCACTCCAAAGAAACAGTAGCAGCACGTGACGTCATTTTCTACGAACGACTCACCCTTCCGACATACCTTGCCAACCTGGAAGAAAATCGGGATCCCACAGGTGGCTTCCATGGTGACCGACACTTCGCCTCGGCAGCAGACGAAGCTGACTGGGACGAGCAGAACGTGGATAACGCCTCGGACGAAGCAGGACCACTCCCTTACTGCTCTGTGCCCATCCCAATGGATGACGAAAATCCTCGCGAAAGCGCCAACGCCGAAACATATTTCGACCTCGCCGACACTGGTTACGTTACACCTGCAGAAGTCAACACCAATGAAGTAGAACGCGTAGGGCCCAATTTCATGCCTGACCCAGAAGCAGGTGACGAAGCAGCTTATCCCGAGGACACAACACTTCCCCGCTACACACAGAGTGGTCTTCAGATACTTGGTCTCGTCACCGCGGTCCACGGCACCGATACTCCTAAGGAGCCTGCCACAGTTCAGCAGGCTCTGGGGGGGGAGCATAGGGAAAAATGGCGTGAAGCCATGGACAAGGAATTGAAAGCACTACAGGAGCGCAACACCTGGAAGGTTGTTCCTATTAGCGTGGCACGAAACAAGACGATACTCACCGGGAAGTGGGTCTTCCGTGTGAAGACGAAAGCAGACGGCACCATCGACAAGTTCAAGGCACGCTGGGTCGTACGTGGCTTCGACCAAGAGCACGGACGCGATTTTACTGAGACATTTGCACCGGTTAGTCGACATACTTCACTAGGGATTCTTCTCGCGGTCGCCGCTATGAAAAAGAAGAAACTGCGGCAAATCGACGTTGCCAATGCCTTTCTCTACGTGCAGAGATCTTCGTCGAACTTCCACACGGTTCCCATGGAGAACCCAATCAAGTCTGTCAACTGCAAAAATCTCTGTACGGGATTAAACAGGCCCCGAGACTGTGGCAGCAGTACTTACACGCTCGGCTCACTCGCATCGGATTCAAGCAGCTGCCGCACGACCAAGGCATGTACCGATTCACGAAAGACGACGACTACATTCTACTAATCGTCTACGTAGACGATCTGCTTTACATCGGGTCAACCGACAATGTCACTACCTGGTTCGAAGGGGAGCTACAGAAAGAACTTACGCTCACGGTTTCATCAACCGTCACGCAGTACCTCGGCCTCAACATCCAAGAAGGAGAAGACGCGATCTATCTCAACGCCGCAAAGTATGCCGACACCATCGCCAAACGGTTCGCACTCACGCCAACCACCATCTCCACGCCATACCGCTACACGGCAGGAAATGACAAGGCAGAAACTGCTCCACTGAAACCCGTCGGCATACGCAACTACCAGAGAAAGCTGGGATGCCTTCTCTTCGCGGCCGTCACCTGTCGTCCAGACCTATCATACTCAGCAAGCCAACTCGCCACCTACCTCAAAAGGCCTGAAGATCAACACATGAAGGAACTCGACCGCGCCCTACACTATCTCGTAAGCACTCCGACGATCGGCCTGATCTACTACAAAAACGTAACTACAACGCCCAAGCTAATCGGCTACGTCGACGCTGACCACGCCGGAGATTCTGGCAACAGGCGCTCGCGCACAGGCTATATCTACCGTCTCGAGCCTATCGGACCTATTTCGTGGCAGTCGAGCAAACAAGAATTAATCGCCCTCTCCTCAGCTGAAGCTGAATATATCGCACTCTGCTCAGCCACCAAGGAAGGACTGTATCTTCGCGAACTTCTGGAGGAAGCGAAGCTGGCCCAGTTACCCAGCTTCTCCCTATTTTGCGACAACCAGTCGGCAATTCGCATCGCCAACAAAAATGGATTCGCGAACAGGACGAAACATATCGCCCTGCGATATTTCTTCGTAAAGAACGAGATCCAGAAGGGAAGACTTGAGCTGTCTTACTGCCCCACATCCGAGATGGCAGCTGATTACTTGACCAAGAAGCTCGGAAAGTCGAAGTTCGAATATTGCATGCTGCTGACTGGACAGAGCCACGTCACCTGCTGCGACACTCCAGAAGCGAAGGGGAGTGTTGGAAACAACTAATTTAAGCGCCTCTGTCGTGTCGAAACACCAAGACAGAAGCGAAGCAGATCGTATCGAAACATCGGTGAGTCAACCCTCGGAGGTTGAATAACTGTTGGAGGTTACGCGAAAGTCAAGGTCAGCGACCTTTGACCTGACGAAATGTACAGTGCGACAGCAAGGACATACGGTATAACTGACTCGTTACAGAGCAGTTACCCGAGTCGGCACTGTATCGAACCGCAACAGCAATACAGTTAAAACAGAACCTTTCATATTCCTTTGTATTCTTATAAAAGCTTGTATGTTCTTTGTTTTAATTAACTTACTTTGCCCTCACACACAAGCGCAAGGTGGTTCAACAAGTCTTTATTAAAACGCTTCCGCTACTACATCATCCTACACTTGAGTTCTGCCCTGCAAAGATCCTAAGGGCTTTGTCAGCCCAACACACTCAACACCCCTAAACATCATCTGCAGGAGCACCCCTCCCAACACTGCCATCAGCTCCCAGTAGCCCTTCGGCCTGCTTTTGCCAACCACCCCTTCCAATTCGCCCCAAAAGCCCCCTCCCCCTCCGATCCACCCTCATTAGCACTGCCGCCAGCATCACAGCCCCTCCCGACACCGTTGTCAGCACCCAAAAATCCCTCGGTTTACTAATCACCGCTGCAAGCACCAACACCACCAGCTGCATTCCCTGCTGTAACGACTCCTGCACTCCCCCCACTGCGCCTCTCTCCTCTTCCACCACTGAACCCTGAACCATCTGCAGCACAGACAGATCAAACACCCAGAGAGGAGCTCTTGAGAGCACCACTCCTATCATAAGCAGCACTGCTGGGATCGGCCCTGACGACTGGAGAACCAATCCCGCGATGACACATGGCAGAAGGCACGTCAGCTGGGACCACACCGAGGCCTCGGCAGTCCGGCTCGGCCCGAGCCTGGCGCAGAGGCTCGGGAAGAGGGTGGCTCCGAGCACGCCGGTGACAGCCGCGGCTCCGCTTGCCGAGCCTAGGAGACCGAGAGGGACGCCTTGGGAGTGCAGGTAGGCGCACATGAGGGATCCGAAGGAGAGGACTGTGAGGTAGAGAAGGGCGAGGGCGAAGGAGGGGAGGAGGGAGGTCTGGCGGAGGTAGATGGTCCAGGCTGAGCGAAAGGTGGTCAGCCAGGAGGTGAGGAGTAGGCGGAGGTGGTGGAGGGAGGCGAGCAGGTGGTTTAAGAAAGAGGGGTTTTGGGTCATGGAGGGGATGAGGGGAGGCTCGCTGCTGCTGCTGCTGCTTCTGGTGGCAGTGGTGGTGGTAATGGTAGGGGCGGCTGGGGAGTCTGAGAGGGTGATAGGAGCAGGTGGCGTTGGATTAGCGGGTGAAGGGACCAGCATCTGCTTATCTCCTGCCTCATGCTTATCCCTTCTCGAATGCTCCACATCGTCCACTTGTGTTTTCACTCCACTCGTAACGTCCCCCACTCCATTCTTATCATCCCCTCCACTCCCCACCCCTCCCTCTCTCCCTTCCTCCTCCTCCCCTTCCTCCTCCACTTCCAATTCCTCCTCCTCTTCTTCCTCCTCCACTTCCAATTCCTCCTCCTCTTCTTCCTCCTCTTCCTCCTCCCCGCTCTCACCTTCCCTCTCCTCCACACCAGCCCTTTCGTCCTCCTCCATCTCCCCTCCTCCTCTCTCCTTGCGCCTCTCCCCCAGCGCGGGTACCTGCGAGTGGACGAGCGCCAGCAGCAGCAGCTCAGCAGCAGCGGCCACGAGGACCCACACGGCCATGGCGAGCGGCAGAGATACAGGCAGCAGCTCAGGGCGCACGGATGAGGCGGGGGGAGGGGAAGAGGCGGAGGCAGAGGCGGAAGGGGAGGAGGCGGCGGCCATGATGGCGCCAGTGAGGGCCGGGGCAAGCAGGCGGCAGAGCAGGTCGATGGTGCGAAGAGTGGAGTTGAGCCGCGCTCGCACACGCTCCCTCTGCTCGCTCCCCTGCTGCTCCTGCTCCTCTTTCTGTTCCGCCAACTGCCTCTCCTGCTGCCCCTCCTGCTGCCCCTGTGGCTGCCCAGCTAGAAGCTCCTCTGCATGCGCTGCCTTGCCCCGGTGACTAGCATCTGCCACCTCTCGCTCCCCTGCTTCGCTCAAGCCACTCTTGCCTCCAACGTGCGTCTGCAATTGGTGTTCCCCCCTCTCCTCTCTCTGCCCCTCCTCTCTCCCCCTCTCCTCTCTCCCCTCCTTTTTCCCATGCCGCGCTGAGTCGTTACAATCCCCCTCCACCTGCACTATTCCCCCTCTCTTCCCTTCGTCGTGTCCCCTGTCCTCCCATTCCCCCTGCCGCCCGCATCCCCTTTTTGCAGCACCTTCCTGCTCGCAAAACCAATCCGCAATCACCACCGCCCAATCGCGTTCCACCGCAATCCCGCGCGCCAATCCGGCGAGAGCAGCCGCGGCGCCCAGCACGCAAACGGCCGCCACCAGTGCCACGTCAGCTCCCGTTTCGACCGCTCCTGCCACCCACGCGAATAGCTTGGACCCAGTGGGACTCGCGGCGGAGGGCACGGCGAGAAAGTCGGCGAGGTAGAGCAGAGCGGCGACGGCAATCGCGGCGAGAAACAGCGCGGCGTTTTGAGCAGAGATCGCGAAGGCGGCTAGCGGTAAACGCGAACAGAGATCCACCCACGTTCCTATGGGTACGGAAAACAAAGACATCGCGAGCGACTCGGAGAGGCCGTAAAGCGCCACTAGCAGCAGAGAGGCGGATCCAGCGCTACTAGTACCGGGGGTGACTGTAGCGGAGGAAGCGGAAGCTGACGTGGCAATGTAAGAGGAGTCTAGGAGAAAGAGCGGCACGGCGAATTCCCACATGCGACTGGTCCATCGGGAGAGGAAGTGAGAGACGTAAAGCGCGAGGAGTGTCAACTTTGGAGGAAGCTTCGAGGAAAGCCTCGGAGAGAGGGCGGCCTGGAGAGCGTTAACGAGCTGAATGACTCGACGCGGAAGCGGCGCAGAGTGATCATTGGAGTTTCCAAGGGACAGTGCAGACTTGCGCCGTCCTGTGCGCTCTCGAGAGTGCTTAGCTTTCCTTCTTCTTCTCTTTCCGAGCTTGGTCTGCGATTGGTCGAGAGGAGCGGAGGAAGGAGCATCGCCAGCCAATAGAAGCGTCTCCTCGAGACCAACGCTGGTGTTGCTGCTGCGTAGCGAATCTGCGGGTTCATCTTCGGAGATCGCTCGGTAACCACACTCGCCAGCCATGTCTGCGATTCCTGGTCTGCGGTACAGTCGTCTTCTCCTCCTTCGAGTATCACTTTTAAGATACAGCGTCTGTGGCGCTTCCCTCCTCGTCCTTTACATTATCCTCCTTCTCCTCCTCCTCCTGCGACTCTCAGTAAGTTTCGCTCAGACGATTACCCAGACGACTCGAAACTCCTCCGGGCCTGGGTCTTGATGTAGTAATGACCGGAGAGAGTGATCGTGACTCGTGAGCACGCACAGCCCAAGATGCAGCAGTCTTTTCAACCTCGGCGACAAACGGGCCGTCCTCGGTTCTTCCCTTTCCCAGGAAGCGACAAAAGGCGAGACAGACGCGCTCGACTTCCGCGCCATCTCTCCATCCCCCACCTCCAGGATGAACGTCTCATGAATTCGCGAAATGACCGTAATGAGGGAAACGCCGTTGCAGCGTGAAACAAAAGCTAGACTATGCAATGATGACGGAACGGAATGCTGTATCAGTCCGTTTTCTCGTCTGCTGTTTGTTTGCTCTGGTTCTTGTCTGCTGTTAGTGACAACGACAACAAGGGGGAAGTGGGCGGTGAAGAGGGGTGTCTGCGGTGCGGTGCGGACAACATCGTTCTTGCACATGGATTTTGTCGAATCTCCAGCGTCAAAAGACGTGTGGCTGGGAAAACCTCGAGATCGCCATTTCTTTTCTGACAGCAGCCAATCAGAAAGGCGCTTGACCCTACCATTCCCGCTAGAAACTGAGACAATCGGAGACAGCTGTTTTGAATGAAGTGATTTTGTATCTGAAAATAAAAGTTAGTTATGGAACCATTCTGTTGAGCCAGAGAATTAGGAGAGCCATCAACAGGCAACCTCACATCATAGTATACATTGAAATCACGGCGTGGCACACCTAGAGACCATACAACAGGTGTTCAGTCCCTCTTGGACCTTCTAGAACTTGGAGCTTGAGTTGAGGCCTCTGCTGAAATGATGCGCGTCCAGCAGCGCCAGAGAATGAGGAACGGCACCAAAATCCAAATGGCGTTCATGCCAACGAAGTAGCCCCAGAAGTAGATCGGATGGGGGTCTGAGTGGGGAAAGCCTTCCAAGTAGCTAGTGGCAAAGTACACAGCTGCTCCGTACAGCTGCCCGAGAGACACAGTGAACTGCAGCAGATTGCTGAACGGCTTCCTGGCCGCCATGGCATACCTGCATGAAAAAAAATGAACACAAAAACATTCAAGTCTCAACGAGCACCAGGAGGACAGCAATAAGAGCCAGAACATTCGAGCCTTCAAAGAAAAGGATTAGAAAACAGACTCACAGAATGAGGATGCATGCAGGGCCTTCAATGAACGCAGTGACTGCCTCAAGAGAGACGATGCAGGTGTCACGGGTGGCATATCGTGAATCCGATATGGCATACTCCTTCCCTGCATGGAAGTGAAAAGCAGGGCCAAAAGGAGGCGAAATAATTATTTAGACCTCATCAAAAAGTGCATGGAGGAATGGGTTGAAAAAAGGGAAGAGTTTAATAGCGGGTTAAGACACAGCACGGGCAGGGACAGGGGGAGAACTAATGTGAATGGGAGACTAGGCTAATGTGTAAATATGAGTAATGATCCCAGTTGGAGAGTAGGCAAGTGGAAAACAATTAGGCGTACAGGCATCAAGGAGGAACGCCTTGCTGGTGCTGCTGATGAGGGCAGGGAAGGCGACAAAAGCTCCCTCCATGAGCATGTGAATGGCGCCTGTCACGGCCCACCAGCTGAACGTGAACCGCTCCGACGCTGACAGATGGCGACATGAGCCTGGAGGAAAGGGGAAAGTGGGTGGGGGAGAGGGGGTGGGAGGGGGAGGGGGGAGAAGAGGGTGGGGGTGAGGACAATGAGAGGGGACAATGAGCCTGAAATGGGTGGTGATGAACTTATACGGACAATGAGAGGGGAAAGCGCAAGAAGAGGGTACCAACACGGGTCAGCAGGCGAAGAGATGAGCCTCTGTAACACCGATTAGCGAGAATGGGAGACAGGCGGGAGGATCAGAAGGTTGACGGAGAATGAGGAATGGTGGAAGCTGGAACGATCTGACTTATCAGGCGAGATCGGAATTGCGTGGCTGCTGACTACACGACAGACAATGCTGGACTGGACGCGAACACCTGCTTCCGGAAAAAGCGTGCGCCTGATGCGTCGACTCACGCGCGAAGAGCCATGAGAGGGTGAAGATCAACCCGACCTATTAAGGCGCCTGAAACGTCGACTCACATGCGAAGAGCCATGAGAGGGTGAAGATCAGCCCGACGGCCACCCCGAAAACGCCGAAGAGCTCGGCCGTGCTCCACGCTGGTGGGACGTAGTCCGGCAACACGATGTCGCGCGGATAGTACGGATGCGCGACGCCGCCTGCCATGGTCAACGGTCAAGCCTGATGTGGTTCGATAAATAATAGCTGATCGATAAGGGCGTGTGCCTTTTTTATTTTTATTTTTTGTGTTTCCGCGGACAGTCCACTTGTATCGAAGCGGACGGTCCCAAAAGCGGGTACCGGACAGTCCATTTCGAAAATTCGAAACTGCAGACTGTCCGAAGGCAAAAACGTGACTTATCTCTACATCTGAAACTACCGAAATACTGTGCACTCGCTAGAGCTACTGTACCATCGTAACCCCAGTCACACACTCTCGCCAGTTTCGCTCACCACACGGCGGCTCGATTTCAAACATTTCACACCCGCCCAGCACACCACACAACTCGATACATCGAAACGGGGGTTCAGCATGGGGACTTTGACTAGAGGTGTTCGGGGTGGTGTTGGCCGGTTCAGAGTTGTCACCTGCGCTAGAGTGCTCCATTGCAGGCTGAGTGTGAGGGTTCAGTTCGGATTGCTCGGGCATTTGTAGTGTTGGTAGGCTAGGGGGTGATGTGAACGCTCAATGTTCAGTCGCGCGGCGCGGTCCTCAAATAAATTGAACATGCGGCTCGGTTTTTGTTTTTCGAGACCTTCGCGCGCCAATCCGATGTCAGAACTGTGCATCCGTCCGTTTGCAATTCGAACTGCCAAAAGTTCAGAATGTGAACCGTTGCTTGGAGGGAAAAGTCACGCGACGGTTCGAACCGCTGGCGACGTCGCCAACACCTTCACGAAACAGTCACGACAAAAAACGAAAAGGGTAACATTTTTGCAAATCGGACGGTCCACGGTTCGAACCGTCGGGAGAAAAAAAGGCACACGCCCTAAATGGTTGTGTTTCCTGACCAGTACCACGTGGCGGCTTCTGAGCCATCCACTTGCTAGGCGTGAGAGCAGATGAAGCCTCACACGAGTGTGGGTGCAAGGCGTGCTGTGCGGTTTACGACGGTGAACGTCTGTTTTGGCTTTCACTGCTTTCCACCATAAAGCACCAGTGTGTACCATCTATAAAAAATCTGGAAGCTGTCCAGAGATGAACCCCCGCCAAAACATACTCGTTATGCATGTTGGGCTGAAAAAAGCCCTTAGGATATTTGCAGGACTAAATTCTGAGTAGGACAATGTAATAGCGGAAGCGTTGAATAAGAACTCTGTGAACCACCTTGCGCTAGTATGTGAGGGCAAAGTAGATTGATTAAAACAAAGGGATACAAGCTTTCATAAGAATACAAGGAATACGAAGAGATACAGTTAATAACCGTTTTGCTGTTGCTGTTGCGGTTCGATACAGTGACGACTCTGGCAACTGCTCAATAGCGAGTCAGTTGTTTGTCCTTGCTGTCGCGCTGTATTTGTCATGTCAAAAGTCGCTGACCTTTGACTTTCGCATAACCTCCAGCAGTTGTTCAACCTCCGAGGGTTGACTCGCTAATGCTTCGATATGTTTCGCTTCGCTTCTGACTTGGTGTTTCGACACGACAAAGGCGCTAAATCAATTGTTTCCAACAATGCAGCTCAGGTCTTAGAGCTCCTGGATGAGCAATCGATATATTTATACAGTTAACTCTATTAAAGCTAGTGTCCCGTACATATGGAGTTATCAAGTAATTCTGATGAACATAATCATTCCAACGAACATGGCGAGAAGAAATATCATGGTCAACCACGTCGATAAGCCAGTGCAAAACCCCTGCCGGGCCAACCGTGAAGCCCTCTGATTGGCCCGACTCAGGCTGGCCACGTTTCTCTCCATTGACTCCTCGGTTGCATCAAGAACCTGTATTTGTCAGGTCAAAAGTCGCTGACCTTTGACTTTCGCATAACCTCCAGCAGTTGTTCAACCTCCGAGGGTTGACTCGCTAATGCTTCGATATGTTTCGCTTCGCTTCTGACTTGGTGTTTCGACACGACAAAGGCGCTAAATCAATTGTTTCCAACAATGCAGCTCAGGTCTTAGAGCTCCTGGATGAGCAATCGATATATTTATACAGTTAACTCTATTAAAGCTAGTGTCCCGTACATATGGAGTTATCAAGTAATTATGATGAACATAATCATTCCAACGAACATGGCGAGAAGAAATATCATGGTCAACCACGTCGATAAGCCAGTGCAAAACCCCTGCCGGGCCAACCGTGAAGCCCTCTGATTGGCCCGACTCAGGCTGGCCACGTTTCTCTCCATTGACTCCTCGGTTGCATCAAGAACCTGCACAAGAAGATGAAAACAGTTAACCATAATAAATACCCCTATAATTAGCAGCACAAAACAAATATAAGTACATTGTAATCATTCAACTCAACCACAGACAACGCAACTACTCCATGAGATGGCAGCAGCGTGTCACCTTATTGGAGCTTTTGACTTTCTCCTCCATGGCGAGCGAGTTGGCCTTCATCTGCCCTGCCAGCATCAACATTTGATCAGATAGCTCCTCCTGAAGATTCCTGGAGGGACGAGGGAAGAGAGAGGACAGACATGAAGAGAGAGGAGAGTGAGGAAGTGAGAAAGAGAGAAAGCGAAACGGAGGAGGGAGTGGAGGGGGAAGAGTGAGGTGGGGGGGAGGGGGGGAGCGAAAAGGGGAAGGGGGGCGGAGAAGAGCGAGATAGGAGTGCAAGAAGGGAAAGGGTCGGGGTAGAAATTGTGGAGAGAACATGCAAGCAAGCTTGAAGGAGATCAGCTGAGAAGAAGCAAGTGATGCTGCAAGAACATTACAAAGCATTACTTATGGGTTGTAATGATTGCTCTTGATGCGTCGTCCAGGGATGACCCAGGGAGAGAAGAACCTGATTGGCGATCTCTGAAAGACGGCCTGTCAGACAGACAAGACGATGCATGCATGGGGCAGTGTCACGGAGTTAAGTGGAAAGCCATTACAAAAGGAATAGATGAAGTTGTGAGATGTCTCAAAATACAACCAACCAGCACACGGCACTGAGAAACAACTGGGTGGGTTTTGAAGGACAAACAACCGACATGTAGTACAAAAACTGAAGGCATGAATGCATGCATGGCATCACGGATCATGGCCACCACCAAGAACAGAACCTACCCATGCCGACCCCTCAACTGGCGGCGGCGTGATCGAAGGCCCAGTGCCTCCCTGCCTTGCCCACCCGCAAAGGCTGCAGAAGATGGCACATAGCCCTGCAAGGCACCTCCTTCAATTTCTCCCTGCTGCTGCTGATGCGATGAAACAGGCTTGATTCCTCTAGAGGTTGATGATAGGTTGGGATCTTGAGGTACCAAGGCGTCCAGCTGGCAGTCGTACTGAAGAGGCAGGCTGTCCGGCATGTGCCACATGTCAGGCTGTGGTTGGTGAGATGAGGTGCAGGAAGACATATCAGTTTGGTGATTCGGGAAGCAAGTGACAACGCACAACGGAGTTGCAAGACTGATCAGTGAAGCTTAGTCAGCTGCCAGCACATGGTCATCCAGTAAGAAGGGTTATATTATATGCCACCGAAAAAAACACTGCAAAAAAAATAAAAGACCCGATTTGTACGATTCATAAGAATCACACGAGTCATGCGATTCACATGAAGCATACACATCACATAACTCGTTACCAGCACGTGCTCTTCCAGCAAGTCAGCCAACAAGGTGATTCGCTGAAGGTACGCCTCCGCCCTTGCCGCCTGGGCTTGCGCTGCTGCCGAAACAGGGAGGCTGCAGAAAGGGACGCAATGCAGCGGCAAGGGAACCGGAAACGATTGTGCGTTGTATAGAAAGAGATGTTTTGTAAGCTGCAGAGTAGAATTACTAAGATGTATAGGAATGCCGATGACATGATCCTGGAGCAGGGTAGGACTGGCGCAGGGTAGGACTGGCGCAGGGTAGGACTGGCGCAGGGTAGGACCGGGTCAGGTTAGGACTGCAGCAGTGTAGGACCAGAGCAGGTTAGGACTGGAGCAGGGTAGGACTGGAGCAGGGTAGGACTGGAGCAGGTTAGGACTGGAGCAGGTTAGGACTGGAGCAGGGTAGGACTGGAGGAAGGGACCACAGAACAGCCTAACACAGATTGTCTCTACAGAAAACGGTCCAGCTGCAAGTGGGGAAAACAGCATGAAGCTAATTGACGAAAAGAAATTGCAAACAAGATGCTGTTGCGCTTGCTGATACCTGTACTGTATCTTGCCGACTGGCCTGCTGTGTCTGCTCTTTTGAGGCACTTCAAACGTCGTCTCTTAACCCGAAATTGGGACGTCTCAAAAGCCGTCACTTACCCGGAAACGGCAAACAGAATGCTATTGCCCTTGCTGACAGCTGCACTGTACCTTGCAGACCGGCCTGCTGAGTCGGGTCTTGACTCCAGCTGCGATTGCGCGAAGAGCTCGCGGAGATACGCGACGTACTGCGGGAGAGTGGGATTGGCATAGGGATTGACGAACGGAATCGAAAGGCTCGAAGAGAAGGATGGAGGCCGGGTCATCAAATGAGAGGCAAAGTTAGAGGCAATCGAGGCATACAGCCTGCGTTCTGAAAGGCATCTGTGTGTGATCGACCGCTCCAGCGATCCGTGACCGAAAGACTTTCGAGGCGCCTTAAAAAGGAAAAAAAGCCGTGAAAGAAAGAGCCGTGGCGAGCACATATCGGTGAACGGCAGAGCTGTGACATGAATCAACGGCTCGCTCGCAATCTCACCCACGTTGTGGAATTTGAAATCTCGTTGCAGCTCGGCTGCTGATTGGCTCCGTGCGATGCGCTCACAGCATCGCAACAGGCGGTAAAGGTCTACTTCCAATCGCGTACAGGGAGTCGGCAAAGGCGGAAGCTGCTCTAGCGCAGCCAACGCCGTGCCTTGACTGTCTGGCAGTTCCTGTGGTTGTCCCTCATATTTTAAGAACGGCGGCGGTGGGGCTGTTTGTAGGCCAAGTGACATGATGGTGAGACACGTGGACAATGAGAAGCTATTGCGGAGTCGGTCCCTTAATCAGGCAACCAAATTAGCGAGGAAATGACGGACCACCGTGTTTGCGCGTTTTCGATTCCTTTCGGCAGTGGCTTAGACAGCGACTCTCTCCGTGTTAGCTGTTGGAATGTTGCCTTCGCACAGGAAGGGTGTAATTCGGCAGAGCTTCCGAATATACGCTACATACAATTCTGTACTGTAGTGAGATCTGGATGGTTTGTATATACTGTATCAAAGAGTTTTTCATGGTTCTCGTCCTTCACCATTCTTCACCAACTTCATCACAACAAGGGAGACCACGTGGTAGCCCACGTGCCCACGTGGAGCGCGCGCCGCAATTCATCCTCCAGCATGGCATGCACCAAAGCGATTTTGCGAGATGCATGGAGATCCATCCTTCGCGCGGAAACACAACACGGTTACTATGGATTCCGCAGCCATAGATTGTACTCACGAAAGCATCTGGCACGTCGCCAACACGACCAATGTCCCTTCGTTTGGCTTCTATCATTCGCAGCAGCAAACCAAACCAAATTCTTTGTCTGCTGGACTCACTTCACTGGCCCACCCTCCAAATCCAAGAAATAGCTAAGGCGGAAGATTCTAGGAGCTCCCTTGCCTTGTATGCCTTCCCACCTCTTCCATTTGCACGCTTCCGTTCTCATTTCAGAGCGCTTGTCGCCGTTCCTGCGTGCGTCGTAGTCACGCCGTTATGGATCGCTCATCGTTGCTTCCGCAGACCGCAGCCAGACCGCGAACAGCATTCGCATACGTTCCGCTAGCGCTGACCTTGGGGTTATTCACCTTCCTTTTCTTCTCGCGCCTCGCTTACGAATCTCGCGACGCCGGTTCGTCGGTGGACGGTCGCGATGAGGACGGGTTGAGCTGCGGGTTTCTGCCGAAGCTCTTTTCGCTCGTGTCCAATGAGAGCCTCGCGTTGCACCTTCGGGAGCTCACCGCCAAGCCGCACATCGCGGGCACCCCCGAAAACTTCGAAACTGCCCGTTACGTCAAGGAGAAATTCGAGGTGTGAATTCGAGACTTTATGGATAAAATTTTCATTCAGTCTCCTCGTGTCACGTGCGCGCATCACCATAGGATTTCACATCCCATCAACTCTTTTTGTCCATCTCACCTTCCCAACCATCTTTCCCCCCCTCCCTTTCCCCCATGCCCCCTCTCTCCCCCCCCACACACACTTCCCCGCATCACACGGCAGTCGTACGGCCTGCGAGCGCACTACGCGGACTATCCCGTGCTGCTCTCCTACCCGCTGCGCCAGTCGCTCCGCCTCGTGCGCCCCGTCGTGCACAACTTCTCGCTGCGCGAGGAGCCCGTCCACGGCGATCCGTTTAGCGCCTCGCGCGCCGCCACCGATCCTTTTAACGCGTATTCCGGTAGCGGGAGGGTCGGCGGGAAGGCCAGCGGGAGGGTGAGCGGAAAGGGGGCGGGAGAGGAGGAGGCGGAGGGGGAAGGAGCGGGAGAGGCGGAAGGAGCAGCGGTGGTGTATGCGAATTATGGGCGCATGGAAGATTTTGAAGAGCTGGTGGCGGCGATTGGGGAGGAGCAGGTGAAAGGCGCAGTGGCGCTGATTCGTTATGGAAAGACTTTTAGAGGGGATAAGGTGAGCACATACAGTTCGTATTCTGTCAGCAAGCCATACTCTTCCATGTGAAAACGGTCCCCTTTCCAACCCAAATTTCCGCCCTCCCTCGGGCCCTTTCCCCCCAAATAACGAACGTCCATCCTTTTGTACCGAACCTTTTCGTCAGGTTCGGAATGCAGAGAGGTTCGGCGTGGCAGCAGTGCTGCTGTACTCTGACCCAGCGGATTACGCACCAGAGGGCACAGATGCGGAGCATGTGTACCCGCAGCAGCAATGGCTGCCTGCTACTGGCGCTCAGCGAGGCACCATCTACACAGGTAAGGCACCGGTGCACGGCGCGTGTAAGCCCAGGAGCAATGGCCATGTGTGACTGGCGCCCAGAGAGGCACCATCTAGAATAATACCTACCTCCATGCTGATGTGATGACGCAATGGCATTCATACATGCTGATGTGATGACGCAATGGCATTCATACATGCTGATGTGATGACGCAATGGTATTCATACATGCTGATGTGATGACGCAATGGTTTTCATACATGCACCACCATGCGCCATGCGGACCATGCGGACTCATCCCTCTCCTCTCCTCTCCTTCCCGTGGTTTTCCCAGGCAAGGGTGACCCAGCCACGCCTGGCTGGCCGTCCCACCCTGGCGGAGAGAGATTAAGCGATGAGGAAACAGCCAAGCGCCTGCCGCGCATCCCGGTGCTGCCAGTGGGGTATTCGGTGGCGGGGAGCATCATGGCGCACATGGGGGGGAGGGCAGTGCCGGAGGAGTGGCGTGGCGGCATGGATGGCGTGGAGTATGTGTTTGGGCCGGGGCCTGCTGCTGTTGACATGGAAGTGCAGGTGAGAGATTGCGTGGGGGAGAGGTTGCGTGGGGGAGAGGTTGCGTGGGGGAGTGGTTGCGTGGGGGAGTGGTTGCGTGGGGGAGTGGTTGCGTGGGGGAGAGGTTGCGTGGGGGAGAGGTTGCGTGGGGGAGAGGTTGCGTGCTGCGTGCATGTGACCATGCGTGTCATCGCTCTTGCACGTGCATGATACGTGTATCCGCCGCCATGCATTTTGCACAGTGAGTGTGGGGTTCATGCACCTTGCTTGAGGCCATCCATCCCTCATCTCCACTCTCATCCTTCGCACTGCCTGACCGCTCTCCCCATCCCCTGCCTGTTATTTTGGGATTTTCTCCTACCATCTGTTGACCTGAGAGCAGATGAACGCCACTGTGACCAATGGTAGGATCATTTGCTCTCATCCGCAACGTTTATTGTTGAGTATTTTCACGAGTGTCTCCTCTCTCATCCTCCACACACCTGCATTTGTCTGCCTGCCCGCCCTGCCTATTTCCTGCCCTGATCCGCAGATGAACGCCACAGTCACCACCATTCGCAACGTCATTGGCGTGCTGCCAGGCTCCCACCAGCCCGACAGGTGCGCTACTGAGGGCACCGGCAATAGTAGAATGCTGGGTGCCTGATTTGCAGCCTTGGCTGAAATGAAGCCACCAGCCACCACCAGTGCCACGCAGAGCTGCATTTCAGCTGTGCTTTAATCACTTCGGAGATTGTGATGCATTCTGTCCTCATCTCGTGTGAAAGTCAGTGACATCACGTCAATATACCTTTCCTCCCCCCTCCCCCCCCCCCCCACCATCACCACCACCACCACCACCACCACCACCACGACGGCAGGTACATCATATTGGGCAACCATCGCGATGCGTGGGTGTTTGGCGCTGCAGATCCCAACAGCGGCACCACCTGCTTGCTCGAGGTACCACCTGCTTGCTCGAGGTAGCTGGATAGGGTTGTTGGATAGGCTACTATCCAGATTGCCGTGCCATAGTAGCTGTTGGTTCAAAGCGCCTTTTTCTTCAGGTCCAGCAGGGCCCAACAGGGATGCTTCTGGAACTGCACACAGATCTGGGATCGTGCTTGAGATCGCCGTGTTATATCATTCTGTGAACTCAATTCTTTTTCTGACGTCTCAAAAGACGTCTCAAAAGACGTCTGAAAAGACTTCTCAAAAGACGTCTCAAAAGAAGACGTCTCAAAAGAAGACGTCTCAAAAGACGTCTCAAAAGAAGACGTCTCAAAAGACGTCTCAAAAGAAGACGTCTCAAAAGACGTCTCAAAGATCGCCGTGTTATATCATTCTGTGAACGCAATGCCTTTTCTTTTTCCCCCGAATCTTTCTTCCCCTCAACCCTGTTCTTGACAGGTGGCGCGTGCGTTTGGCCACATGGCAGCACATGGTTGGCCGCCTCGCCGCTCGCTTGTGTTTGCCAGCTGGGATGCCGAGGAGTACGGATGTGTGAGTGTGACACTGAGGGGGGGTGACAGTCGAGGGGTGACCGGGTGACGGTATACGGGTGACAGTGTAGGGGTGATGGTACAGGGCTGACAAGATAGGGGTGGCACTGTGACAGTGTAGGGGTGAGGTTGCGGGATAGGGAAGACAGAATAGGGGGAGGATGGAAAAAGGTGTTTTCTCCTCCCATTCCTCTCCCTCACTCTTCTCTCACCCTTTGCTCCTCTCATCCCCGTGCTCATACCCCAGCTAGGGTCAACCGAATGGGTAGAGGACAACGTGCCAGTGCTAGCAACAGCAGCCATGGCGTACATCAACGTGGACGTGGCTGTGGGGGGAGGGGGAGTGCTTTCATCTGAGATTCATTTCTTTCCCATTCCTCAACCTCACACTCTGCGCACCCTTTCTTCTCCCTTCAGTTGGGATCAACGGAGTGGGCAGAGGACAATGCACCAGTGCTAGCAACAGCAGCCATGGCGTACATCAACGTGGACGTGGCTGTGTGGGGGGGAGGGAGAGTGCTTCAATACAAGTGCCATTTCTTTCCCCATGCCCATGCCCTTCCCTATGTTCGCCTCACACTACAGTTGGGATCGACAGAGTGGGCAGAGGACAATGCACCGGTCCTAGCAACAGCAGCCATGGCGTACATCAACGTGGACGTGGCTGTGGGGGGAGGGGGCTTCCATGCCTCCTCCACCCCGCAGCTTGATGACCTCATCCGTGACGTCAGCAGCCAGGTAGGCATGCTGATGTCAGCAGCCACGTGCGCTGATGACATTGAGACATGTGGTGGACTGGCCGAGAACCTGTTAGGAGGAGTTTTGAGAAACTTCTGAGAATGAAAAAACAAAAACAAAATAACAAAGAAAGACGTTTCCATACCCTCCCCACTTCATTCCGTCCCTCTCTCCTCAATCTCCCTCCCTCTCCCCACTGTCCCGTGCTTCCCTCTCCGTTCTCTCCCCTCCCTCATCTCCCCTCCCTCGCCCCACAGGTGGCCAGTCCTGACGGTCCAGCTGGCGAGTCGATATTGGAGGGGTGGGCGGCTGAGCACAACACGTCAGAGCCTGAGGTGAGTTTTAGACGATGCATGGTGCATGGTGCATGGTGCATGAATGGTGCATACGTATGTTGTGAGGGTGATTTGGTGAAGCACATGGCATGCTTCCTGAGAGATGCCACAACACCAGCTTTCCTGTATTGTGCTTCAGCAATGACCCGCACACAGTACAGAACAGCAATAACCTCCCTGAAGCACCATGAAAAACACCTGTTTGATGAATCATCACATATGCCCTCACATGCCCACCCACACGTTCCGCACCTCCAAATCTCATTCTCAGACGTCACCATCCCATTCCGCATATCCGAATGATGGTGTGAGGGACTCGTCCCACTGTCATTTCCATTGCCGTTGTGCGTCGACTAAAAAAATGGACTCATCCCACTGTCATTTCCATTGCCGTTGTGCGTCGACTCAAAAAATGGACTCATCCCACTGTCATTTCCATTGCCGTTGTGCGTCGACTAAAAAAATGGACTCATCCCACTGTCATTTCCATTGCCGTTGTGCGTCGACTCAAAAAATGGACTCATCCCACTGTCATTTCCATTGCCGTTGTGCGTCGACTCAAAAAATGGACTCATCCCACTGTCATTTCCATTGCCGTTGTGCGTCGACTCAAAAAATGGACTCGTCCCACTGTCATTTCCATTGCCGTTGTGCGTCGACTCAAAAAATGGACTCGTCCCACTGTCATTTCCATTGCCGTTGTGCGTCGACTCAAAAAATGGACTCGTCCCACTGTCATTTCCATTGCCGTTGTGCGTCGACTAAAAAAATGGACTCATCCCACTGTCATTTCCATTGCCGTTGTGCGTCGACTCAAAAAATGGACTCATCCCACTGTCATTTCCATTGCCGTTGTGCGTCGACTCAAAAAATGGACTCATCCCACTGTCATTTCCATTGCCGTTGTGCGTCGACTCAAAAAATGGACTCATCCCACTGTCATTTCCATTGCCGTTGTGCGTCGACTCAAAAAATGGACTCATCCCACTGTCATTTCCATTGCCGTTGTGCGTCGACTCAAAAAATGGACTCATCCCACTGTCATTTCCATTGCCGTTGTGCGTCGACTCAAAAAATGGACTCATCCCACTGTCATTGCCATTGCCGTTGTGAGTCGACTCAAAAAATGGACTCGTCCCACTGTCATTTCCATTGCCGTTGTGCGTCGACTCAAAAAATGGACTCGTCCCACTGTCATTTCCATTGCCGTTGTGCGTCGACTAAAAAAATGGACTCATCCCACTGTCATTTCCATTGCCGTTGTGCGTCGACTCAAAAAATGGACTCATCCCACTGTCATTTCCATTGCCGTTGTGCGTCGACTAAAAAAATGGACTCATCCCACTGTCATTTCCATTGCCGTTGTGCGTCGACTCAAAAAATGGACTCGTCCCACTGTCATTTCCATTGCCGTTGTGCGTCGACTCAAAAAATGGACTCGTCCCACTGTCATTTCCATTGCCGTTGTGCGTCGACTCAAAAAATGGACTCGTCCCACTGTCATTTCCATTGCCGTTGTGCGTCGACTCAAAAAATGGACTCATCCCACTGTCATTTCCATTGCCGTTGTGCGTCGACTCAAAAAATGGACTCGTCCCACTGTCATTTCCATTGCCGTTGTGCGTCGACTCAAAAAATGGACTCATCCCACTGTCATTTCCATTGCCGTTGTGCGTCGACTCAAAAAATGGACTCATCCCACTGTCATTTCCATTGCCGTTGTGCGTCGACTCAAAAAATGGACTCATCCCACTGTCATTTCCATTGCCGTTGTGCGTCGACTCAAAAAATGGACTCGTCCCACTGTCATTTCCATTGCCGTTGTGCGTCGACTCAAAAAATGGACTCGTCCCACTGTCATTTCCATTGCCGTTGTGCGTCGACTCAAAAAATGGACTCGTCCCACTGTCATTTCCATTGCCGTTGTGCGTCGACTCAAAAAATGGACTCGTCCCACTGTCATTTCCATTGCCGTTGTGCGTCGACTCAAAAAATGGACTCATCCCACTGTCATTTCCATTGCCGTTGTGCGTCGACTCAAAAAATGGACTCATCCCACTGTCAATTCCATTGCCGTTGTGCGTCGACTCAAAAAATGGACTCATCCCACTGTCATTTCCATTGCCGTTGTGCGTCGACTCAAAAAATGGACTCGTCCCACTGTCATTTCCATTGCCGTTGTGCGTCGACTCAAAAAATGGACTCGTCCCACTGTCATTTCCATTGCCGTTGTGCGTCGACTCAAAAAATGGACTCGTCCCACTGTCATTTCCATTGCCGTTGTGCGTCGACTAAAAAAATGGACTCATCCCACTGTCATTGCCATTGCCGTTGTGAGTCGACTCAAAAAATGGACTCGTCCCACTGTCATTTCCATTGCCGTTGTGCGTCGACTAAAAAAATGGACTCGTCCCACTGTCATTTCCATTGCCGTTGTGCGTCGACTAAAAAAATGGACTCATCCCACTGTCATTTCCATTGCCGTTGTGCGTCGACTCAAAAAATGGACTCATCCCACTGTCATTTCCATTGCCGTTGTGCGTCGACTCAAAAAATGGACTCATCCCACTGTCATTTCCATTGCCGTTGTGCGTCGACTCAAAAAATGGACTCATCCCACTGTCATTTCCATTGCCGTTGTGCGTCGACTCAAAAAATGGACTCATCCCACTGTCATTTCCATTGCCGTTGTGCGTCGACTCAAAAAATGGACTCATCCCACTGTCATTTCCATTGCCGTTGTGCGTCGACTCAAAAAATGGACTCATCCCACTGTCATTTCCATTGCCGTTGTGCGTCGACTCAAAAAATGGACTCATCCCACTGTCATTTCCATTGCCGTTGTGCGTCGACTCAAAAAATGGACTCGTCCCACTGTCATTTCCATTGCCGTTGTGCGTCGACTCAAAAAATGGACTCGTCCCACTGTCATTTCCATTGCCGTTGTGCGTCGACTCAAAAAATGGACTCGTCCCACTGTCATTTCCATTGCCGTTGTGCGTCGACTCAAAAAATGGACTCGTCCCACTGTCATTTCCATTGCCATTGTGCGTCGACTCAAAAAATGGACTCATCCCACTGTCATTTCCATTGCCGTTGTGCGTCGACTCAAAAAATGGACTCATCCCACTGTCATTTCCATTGCCGTTGTGCGTCGACTCAAAAAATGGACTCATCCCACTGTCATTTCCATTGCCGTTGTGCGTCGACTCAAAAAATGGACTCATCCCACTGTCATTTCCATTGCCGTTGTGCGTCGACTCAAAAAATGGACTCGTCCCACTGTCATTTCCATTGCCGTTGTGCGTCGACTCAAAAAATGGACTCGTCCCACTGTCATTTCCATTGCCGTTGTGCGTCGACTCAAAAAATGGACTCGTCCCACTGTCATTTCCATTGCCGTTGTGCGTCGACTCAAAAAATGGACTCGTCCCACTGTCATTTCCATTGCCGTTGTGCGTCGACTCAAAAAATGGACTCGTCCCACTGTCATTTCCATTGCCGTTGTGCGTCGACTCAAAAAATGGACTCATCCCACTGTCATTTCCATTGCCGTTGTGCGTCGACTCAAAAAATGGACTCGTCCCACTGTCATTTCCATTGCCATTGTGCGTCGACTCAAAAAATGGACTCATCCCACTGTCATTTCCATTGCCGTTGTGCGTCGACTCAAAAAATGGACTCATCCCACTGTCATTTCCATTGCCGTTGTGCGTCGACTCAAAAAATGGACTCATCCCACTGTCATTTCCATTGCCGTTGTGTGTCGACTCAAAAAATGGACTCATCCCACTGTCATTTCCATTGCCGTTGTGCGTCGACTCAAAAAATGGACTCGTCCCACTGTCATTTCCATTGCCGTTGTGCGTCGACTCAAAAAATGGACTCGTCCCACTGTCATTTCCATTGCCGTTGTGCGTCGACTCAAAAAATGGACTCGTCCCACTGTCATTTCCATTGCCGTTGTGCGTCGACTCAAAAAATGGACTCGTCCCACTGTCATTTCCATTGCCGTTGTGCGTCGACTCAAAAAATGGACTCATCCCACTGTCATTTCCATTGCCGTTGTGCGTCGACTCAAAAAATGGACTCATCCCACTGTCAATTCCATTGCCGTTGTGCGTCGACTCAAAAAATGGACTCATCCCACTGTCATTTCCATTGCCGTTGTGCGTCGACTCAAAAAATGGACTCATCCCACTGTCATTTCCATTGCCGTTGTGCGTCGACTCAAAAAATGGACTCATCCCACTGTCATTTCCATTGCCGTTGTGCGTCGACTCAAAAAATGGACTCATCCCACTGTCATTTCCATTGCCGTTGTGCGTCGACTCAAAAAATGGACTCGTCCCACTGTCATTTCCATTGCCGTTGTGCGTCGACTCAAAAAATGGACTCATCCCACTGTCATTTCCATTGCCGTTGTGCGTCGACTCAAAAAATGGACTCATCCCACTGTCATTTCCATTGCCGTTGTGCGTCGACTCAAAAAATGGACTCATCCCACTGTCATTTCCATTGCCGTTGTGCGTCGACTCAAAAAATGGACTCGTCCCACTGTCATTTCCATTGCCGTTGTGCGTCGACTAAAAAAATGGACTCATCCCACTGTCATTTCCATTGCCGTTGTGCGTCGACTCAAAAAATGGACTCATCCCACTGTCATTTCCATTGCCGTTGTGCGTCGACTCAAAAAATGGACTCATCCCACTGTCATTTCCATTGCCGTTGTGCGTCGACTCAAAAAATGGACTCATCCCACTGTCATTGCCATTGCCGTTGTGAGTCGACTCAAAAAATGGACTCGTCCCACTGTCATTTCCATTGCCGTTGTGCGTCGACTCAAAAAATGGACTCGTCCCACTGTCATTTCCATTGCCGTTGTGCGTCGACTCAAAAAATGGACTCATCCCACTGTCATTTCCATTGCCGTTGTGCGTCGACTCAAAAAATGGACTCATCCCACTGTCATTTCCATTGCCGTTGTGCGTCGACTAAAAAAATGGACTCATCCCACTGTCATTTCCATTGCCGTTGTGCGTCGACTAAAAAAATGGACTCGTCCCACTGTCATTTCCATTGCCGTTGTGCGTCGACTCAAAAAATGGACTCATCCCACTGTCATTTCCATTGCCGTTGTGCGTCGACTCAAAAAATGGACTCGTCCCACTGTCATTTCCATTGCCGTTGTGCGTCGACTCAAAAAATGGACTCATCCCACTGTCATTTCCATTGCCGTTGTGCGTCGACTCAAAAAATGGACTCATCCCACTGTCATTTCCATTGCCGTTGTGCGTCGACTAAAAAAATGGACTCATCCCACTGTCATTTCCATTGCCGTTGTGCGTCGACTCAAAAAATGGACTCATCCCACTGTCATTTCCATTGCCGTTGTGCGTCGACTCAAAAAATGGACTCATCCCACTGTCATTTCCATTGCCGTTGTGCGTCGACTCAAAAAATGGACTCATCCCACTGTCATTTCCATTGCCGTTGTGCGTCGACTCAAAAAATGGACTCATCCCACTGTCATTTCCATTGCCGTTGTGCGTCGACTCAAAAAATGGACTCATCCCACTGTCATTTCCATTGCCGTTGTGCCTCGACTCAAAAAATGGACTCGTCCCACTGTCATTTCCATTGCCGTTGTGCGTCGACTCAAAAAATGGACTCGTCCCACTGTCATTTCCATTGCCGTTGTGCGTCGACTCAAAAAATGGACTCATCCCACTGTCATTTCCATTGCCGTTGTGCGTCGACTCAAAAAATGGACTCGTCCCACTGTCATTTCCATTGCCGTTGTGCGTCGACTCAAAAAATGGACTCATCCCACTGTCATTTCCATTGCCGTTGTGCGTCGACTCAAAAAATGGACTCATCCCACTGTCATTTCCATTGCCGTTGTGCGTCGACTCAAAAAATGGACTCATCCCACTGTCATTTCCATTGCCGTTGTGTGTCGACTCAAAAAATGGACTCGTCCCACTGTCATTTCCATTGCCGTTGTGCGTCGACTCAAAAAATGGACTCGTCCCACTGTCATTTCCATTGCCGTTGTGCGTCGACTCAAAAAATGGACTCGTCCCACTGTCATTTCCATTGCCGTTGTGCGTCGACTCAAAAAATGGACTCGTCCCACTGTCATTTCCATTGCCGTTGTGCGTCGACTCAAAAAATGGACTCGTCCCACTGTCATTTCCATTGCCGTTGTGCGTCGACTCAAAAAATGGACTCATCCCACTGTCATTTCCATTGCCGTTGTGCGTCGACTCAAAAAATGGACTCATCCCACTGTCAATTCCATTGCCGTTGTGCGTCGACTCAAAAAATGGACTCATCCCACTGTCATTTCCATTGCCGTTGTGCGTCGACTCAAAAAATGGACTCATCCCACTGTCATTTCCATTGCCGTTGTGCGTCGACTCAAAAAATGGACTCATCCCACTGTCATTTCCATTGCCGTTGTGCGTCGACTCAAAAAATGGACTCATCCCACTGTCATTTCCATTGCCGTTGTGCGTCGACTCAAAAAATGGACTCGTCCCACTGTCATTTCCATTGCCGTTGTGCGTCGACTCAAAAAATGGACTCATCCCACTGTCATTTCCATTGCCGTTGTGCGTCGACTCAAAAAATGGACTCATCCCACTGTCATTTCCATTGCCGTTGTGCGTCGACTCAAAAAATGGACTCATCCCACTGTCATTTCCATTGCCGTTGTGCGTCGACTCAAAAAATGGACTCGTCCCACTGTCATTTCCATTGCCGTTGTGCGTCGACTAAAAAAATGGACTCATCCCACTGTCATTTCCATTGCCGTTGTGCGTCGACTCAAAAAATGGACTCATCCCACTGTCATTTCCATTGCCGTTGTGCGTCGACTCAAAAAATGGACTCATCCCACTGTCATTTCCATTGCCGTTGTGCGTCGACTCAAAAAATGGACTCATCCCACTGTCATTGCCATTGCCGTTGTGAGTCGACTCAAAAAATGGACTCGTCCCACTGTCATTTCCATTGCCGTTGTGCGTCGACTCAAAAAATGGACTCGTCCCACTGTCATTTCCATTGCCGTTGTGCGTCGACTCAAAAAATGGACTCATCCCACTGTCATTTCCATTGCCGTTGTGCGTCGACTCAAAAAATGGACTCATCCCACTGTCATTTCCATTGCCGTTGTGCGTCGACTCAAAAAATGGACTCATCCCACTGTCATTTCCATTGCCGTTGTGCGTCGACTAAAAAAATGGACTCATCCCACTGTCATTTCCATTGCCGTTGTGCGTCGACTCAAAAAATGGACTCGTCCCACTGTCATTTCCATTGCCGTTGTGCGTCGACTCAAAAAATGGACTCGTCCCACTGTCATTTCCATTGCCGTTGTGCGTCGGCTCAAAAAATGGACTCGTCCCACTGTCATTTCCATTGCCGTTGTGCGTCGACTCAAAAAATGGACTCATCCCACTGTCATTTCCATTGCCGTTGTGCGTCGACTCAAAAAATGGACTCACCCCACTGTCATTTCCATTGCCGTTGTGCGTCGACTCAAAAAATGGACTCATCCCACTGTCATGTCCATTGCCGTTGTGCGTCGACTCAAAAAATGGACTCATCCCACTGTCATTTCCATTGCCGTTGTGCGTCGACTTAAAAAATGGACTCATCCCACTGTCATTTCCATTGCCGTTGTGCGTCGACTAAAAAAATGGACTCATCCCACTGTCATTTCCATTGCCGTTGTGCGTCGACTAACCAAGTTATGTGACGTCTGAAAGCTCATCTATCCCGTCTGAAAGCTCATCTATCCCGTCTGCCATCCCCAACCACACCCTGCAGTTGGGCCGGCTGGGAGGGGGGGGCAGCGACTATGCAGCATTTCTGCAGCACCTTGGGATTGCCGCAGCAGACACTCACTTTGGAGGATGTGAGTGTTATGAGGGGGTGGTGAGAGCTGGCAAGGGGTGGGCTGGTGTGAGCTCACAAGGGGTTGGTGTGAGCTTATAGAGGGGTGCTGTGAGCTTATAAGAGGATGAATTTTGAGGCCTACTCATCCCGTTCTTCCATTTCGCCCCTCCCCGTTTCCCCTCTCTCTTTCTGCACCCACCTACCCCGTGTACCACATCGTACGACAATTACCATTGGATGTCCAGGCACCTCAAAAATCCGCTCGCTTTCCCCCTCCCTCCTCCCCACCTCCTTTTCTCACTCTCTTATTGCTCGCAACCAGCCTACCCCATGTGCCACAGTGTGTACGACAAATACCACTGTTTGTAATGGGGTGGTGTGAGGATTGAGGGGGTGGTGTGAGGATTGAGGGGGTGGTGTGAGGTTTGAGGGGGTGGTGTGAGGTTTGAGGGGGTGGTGTGGGATGGGGGTTGGGGCTTTCAAGGCACCTCATAAGTCATCTTATCCTTCCCCTTTCCACCCTCTCTCCTGCTGCACCAGCCTACCCCATGTATCACAGTGTGTATGACAACTACCATTGAAACAGGTCTTCAGCCGCCTGAAAACTCCTCTTTCTTCTCCTTTCCCTCCACCACTTTTCCCCCTTACCCCATTCCCCTCTCTCCTGCTGCACCAGCCTACCCCATGTATCACAGTGTGTATGACAACTATCATTGGATGGCCACCTTTGCCGATCCACTCTTCAAGCGCCACGTGGCAGTCACCAAGATGATGGCTGGCGTGGCTGCCAGGCTGGCAGGCGACCATCGCCTGCCCTTCAACTACTCCGCCTACGCTATCCACCTGGAGCATGACGTGGCAAGGCTGCAGGCTGACGTGGCGGCACAAGGCGCCCCGTCATCTCTCTCAGTGGAGCCGCTCTTTGCATCTGTCTCTCGCCTCCTGACTGGTGCTCAAGGCATTGAAGTGGAAATTCAGGTGCGCAATCAGGCTGGTAATCAGGGGTGCACAGCGGTGGGGTGCACAGCGGTGGGGTGCACAGCGGTGGGGTGCACAGCGTTCTGGAGCATATTTGTGTCTGTCTCTCGCCTCCTAGCTGCTGCTCAAGGCATTTAAGAAGATATTCAGGTATTCCTGAAAATGCGTGTTCCGCGTTCAGGTGTGCAGTACAGTGGAGTGCAGTGCAGTGGGGTGCACAGCAGTGCGTGGAGCACTAGGCCACTCGGCACGCCCCACCAACCCCATGAGCTTTCGTCGGGAACTCGTCCCTCCCATCTTCCATCTCCACTTCCCTTTCTCCTCCACCCTTCCTCGCACTTCCCTTCTTATCCCTCCTTTTATTCCCCACTCCCTTTCTCCTCGCACCTCGTTCCAGCCCCATCTCACACCCCCGAATCCCATGCACCCCTCCCACCACCACCACAGCAAATCGCAGCGGCCAGCAGCAGAGCATGCAGGTGCACGTGGGGGAGGGGTTGCCCCATGGAGGGCGCATCTGGGGAAGGCGCCAACTGAGGCCATTCACCCCCATCCCACACCCTCCCACCCCGCCACCCCTCCCACCACCACAGCAAATCGCAGCGTCCAGCAGCAGCGCGTGCAGGTGCACAAGGGGGAGGGGATGCCCCATGGAGGAAGGCGCCAACTGCCCGTCATCCAAGGCATTCGACGCAGTGAACGAGCGCCTCTTCCTGGCTGAGCGGGGGTTCCTGGACGGGCACGGAATCGGGCCTCACTACACGTGGTTCAAGCACCTGGTGGGTGGAAGGGACGAGTCATGGTGTGAGGTAGAATGGGCGGGGGTGCATTTCGGTGGGTTTGCTGTGGTGCTCAAGTGTGGGACAGGGGAGCTGTATTGGAGGGGGTAAATGGGCCTCTGTTTCTGGCCGAACGGGAATTCCTGAACGGGCACGGTATCGGCCCACACTTCATGTGGGTTGACATTGTTCCACAGAGAATGGTTCTGTATGGAATGAAAATAAATTGGCTTTGAGTGAGGCGGTATTTGGCGTGGTGTGCGGGTGCAAGGGTCTGACGTTCCTGCTCGGGCCTCTTGACCACGTGTCATGTGATTCAAGCACATTGTGGGGTTTGGTTGAAGCACATTGTGGGGTTTGGTTGAAGCACATTGTGGGGTTTGGTTGAAGCACATTGTGGGGTTTGGTTGAAGCACATTGTGGGGTTTGGTTGAAGCACATTGTGGGGTTTGGTTGAAGCACATTGTGGGGTTTGGTTGAAGCACATTGTGGGGTTTGGTTGAAGCACATTGTGGGGTTTGGTTGAAGCACATTGTGGGGTTTGGTTGAAGCACATTGTGGGGTTTGGTTGAAGCACATTGTGGGGTTTGGTTGAAGCACATTGTGGGGTTTGGTTGAAGCACATTGTGGGGTTTGGTTGAAGCACATTGTGGGGTTTGGTTGAAGCACATTGTGGGGTTTGGTTCAAGCACATTGTGGGGTTTGGTTGAAGCACATTGTGGGGTTTGGTTCAAGCACATTGTGGGGTTTGGTTCAAGCACATTGTGGGGTTTGGTTGAAGCACATTGTGGGGTTTGGTTGAAGCACATTGTGGGGTTTGGTTGAAGCACATTGTGGGGTTTGGTTGAAGCACATTGTGGGGTTTGGTTGAAGCACATTGTGGGGTTTGTTTGAAGCACATTGTGGGGTTTGGTTGAAGCACATTGTGGGGTTTGGTTGAAGCACATTGTGGGGTTTGGTTGAAGCACATTGTGGGGTTTGGTTGAAGCACATTGTGGGGTTTGGTTGAAGCACATTGTGGGGTTTGGTTGAAGCACATTGTGGGGTTTGGTTGAAGCACATTGTGGGGTTTGGTTGAAGCACATTGTGGGGTTTGGTTGAAGCACATTGTGGGGTTTGGTTGAAGCACATTGTGGGGTTTGGTTGAAGCACATTGTGGGGTTTGGTTGAAGCACATTGTGGGGTTTGGTTGAAGCACATTGTGGGGTTTGGTTGAAGCACATTGTGGGGTTTGGTTGAAGCACATTGTGGGGTTTGGTTGAAGCACATTGTGGGGTTTGGTTGAAGCACATTGTGGGGTTTGGTTGAAGCACATTGTGGGGTTTGGTTGAAGCACATTGTGGGGTTTGGTTGAAGCACATTGTGGGGTTTGGTTGAAGCACATTGTGGGGTTTGGTTGAAGCACATTGTGGGGTTTGGTTGAAGCACATTGTGGGGTTTGGTTGAAGCACATTGTGGGGTTTGGTTGAAGCAGATTGTGGGGTTTGTTTGAAGCACATTGTGGGGTTTGGTTGAAGCACATTGTGGGGTTTGGTTGAAGCACATTGTGGGGTTTGGTTGAAGCACATTGTGGGGTTTGGTTCAAGCACATTGTGGGGTTTGGTTCAAGCACATTGTGGGGTTTGGTTCAAGCACATTGTGGGGTTTGGTTGAAGCACATTGTGGGGTTTGGTTGAAGCACATTGTGGGGTTTGGTTGAAGCACATTGTGGGGTTTGGTTGAAGCACATTGTGGGGTTTGGTTCAAGCACATTGTGGGGTTTGGTTGAAGCACATTGTGGGGTTTGGTTGAAGCACATTGTGGGGTTTGGTTGAAGCACATTGTGGGGTTTGGTTGAAGCACATTGTGGGGTTTGGTTGAAGCACATTGTGGGGTTTGGTTGAAGCACATTGTGGGGTTTGGTTGAAGCACATTGTGGGGTTTGGTTGAAGCACATTGTGGGGTTTGGTTGAAGCACATTGTGGGGTTTGGTTGAAGCACATTGTGGGGTTTGGTTGAAGCACATTGTGGGGTTTGGTTGAAGCACATTGTGGGGTTTGGTTGAAGCACATTGTGGGGTTTGGTTGAAGCACATTGTGGGGTTTGGTTGAAGCACATTGTGGGGTTTGGTTGAAGCAGATTGTGGGGTTTGTTTGAAGCACATTGTGGGGTTTGGTTGAAGCACATTGTGGGGTTTGGTTGAAGCACATTGTGGGGTTTGGTTGAAGCACATTGTGGGGTTTGGTTGAAGCACATTGTGGGGTTTGGTTCAAGCACATTGTGGGGTTTGGTTCAAGCACATTGTGGGGTTTGGTTCAAGCACATTGTGGGGTTTGGTTGAAGCACATTGTGGGGTTTGGTTGAAGCACATTGTGGGGTTTGGTTGAAGCACATTGTGGGGTTTGGTTGAAGCACATTGTGGGGTTTGGTTGAAGCACATTGTGGGGTTTGGTTCAAGCACATTGTGGGGTTTGGTTCAAGCACATTGTGGGGTTTGGTTCAAGCACATTGTGGGGTTTGGTTGAAGCACATTGTGGGGTTTGGTTGAAGCACATTGTGGGGTTTGGTTGAAGCACATTGTGGGGTTTGGTTGAAGCACATTGTGGGGTTTGGTTGAAGCACATTGTGGGGTTTGGTTGAAGCACATTGTGGGGTTTGGTTGAAGCACATTGTGGGGTTTGGTTGAAGCACATTGTGGGGTTTGGTTGAAGCACATTGTGGGGTTTGGTTCAAGCACATTGTGGGGTTTGGTTGAAGCACATTGTGGGGTTTGGTTCAAGCACATTGTGGGGTTTGGTTGAAGCACATTGTGGGGTTTGGTTGAAGCACATTGTGGGGTTTGGTTGAAGCACATTGTGGGGTTTGGTTGAAGCACATTGTGGGGTTTGGTTGAAGCACATTGTGGGGTTTGGTTGAAGCACATTGTGGGGTTTGGTTCAAGCACATTGTGGGGTTTGGTTGAAGCACATTGTGGGGTTTGGTTGAAGCACATTGTGGGGTTTGGTTGAAGCACATTGTGGGGTTTGGTTGAAGCACATTGTGGGGTTTGGTTGAAGCACATTGTGGGGTTTGGTTGAAGCACATTGTGGGGTTTGGTTGAAGCACATTGTGGGGTTTGGTTCAAGCACATTGTGGGGTTTGGTTGAAGCACATTGTGGGGTTTGGTTCAAGCACATTGTGGGGTTTGGTTCAAGCACATTGTGGGGTTTGGTTGAAGCATTGTGGGGTTTGGTTGAAGCACATTGTGGGGTTTGGTTCAAGCACATTGTGGGGTTTGGTTGAAGCACATTGTGGGGTTTGTTTGAAGCACATTGTGGGGTTTGGTTGAAGCACATTGTGGGGTTTGTTTGAAGCACATTGTGGGGTTTGTTTGAAGCACATTGTGGGGTTTGGTTGAAGCACATTGTGGGGTTTGTTTGAAGCACATTGTGGGGTTTGTTTTGACTCAAAGATCGTGTGCAAGGCAAGGCTCTGACGTTCCTGCTCGGGCCTCTTGAGCACGTGTCATGTGGTTCAGCACGTTGTGGGTGGACCGATGTGACGATGCCACTGTAGGTCTCATCGTGGTCTACTTCTCATCTCAGGCGCCTCAGTAGTGCACCAGTGGTTCTACTATATGAGGTATATGGGGTAGTGGGGGTATGTTGTATGGTGGCATGTGTGCAGAATGGTATTAAACACCACAAACGGTGTACCATCCATGGTGTGTGATATAGGTTTCTTTTGATAATTCTCATAAGTTACTCGATTGCATTGTACATAATGAACACTCCCTAATCCAGTTTCAAATCGTCTCAACCCTTCTTTGCTCTCCCAACACCCCCGTGCCAGGTGTACGGCCCTGAAAAGGACAACGACTATGCCACGTCACCATTCCCCGGGATCCGCGACGCCATTGCTGACGTCATCAAGAGCAGCGCCTCCAAAAAGGAAAATCCCGAGGCTGAGGCAGGTGGTGCTATGAAGGGGGGTGACAATAACGAGGATGGGGAGGAGTGGAGTGCGGTGCAGCATGAGATTTTCCGGGCGGCACGGGCGATCGAGAGGGCCGCGAAGATCCTCGAGGGGCAGCTGCTGTGAGCTGGTGTGCGGAGTGGTTCAATGCGATGGTGTGCAGTACAGTGTGTTTCCGGGTGGTGGAGCTGTGACATGGGATGGTGTGTTCCGGTTGGTGGCACAGTGTGCTGTGGGCAGTGAATCACTGCTGTAAGCACCAGGATGCATGTGCTCATTGCTGCGGACACAAGCTTTGCCAGTGGTGGTGTCCGGTCCGACCCGTCTGTTCAGATGTGCCATGCCAAGACTTCTTTTGCTAGTTATTGTATAGAGCGCCCTGTTGTCTTGGCCCGTCTGCGGACCCGTCTAGATGCCAACAGTGCTAGAAGCTCTGTAGTCATGGATATACTAGGTAGTGTAGTGGGCAATGGTGCGTGGGTGGTGCAGTTTCTCACTGCTGCCCTGTTGTATGAACCAGTGTGTGACAGAAAAAGTGTTTCGCATGCTTTCCTTTCACTTGCATTGTAGACATTTGCTTGTCCGAACTCAAGCACTCTGCCATGGATGGCAGTAAAAGAGCACATGCAGTACGGTACCGTAGGTACCCTGGGCAGGGCAGCCTCGTATGCAAGAGGGATCAGGATGAGGACGGAACCCTGCCATGCAAACCGAATCAGAGTGAAGGACTTTTTTTTAGGCGCCTCAAAAACCGAATCAGAGTGAAGGACTTTTTTTTAGGCGCCTCAAAAACCGAATCAGAGTGAAGGACTTTTTTGAGGCGCCTCAAAAAACCGAATCAGAGTGAAGGACTTTTTTTTAGGCGCCTCAAAAACCGAATCAGAGCGTATTCCTATCCTCGTATCAAGAAAACCTCATATCAACCTCCCACTGAAAATTCCCCTAAACCCAAAACCTCTCGCTACTTTTACCAGGCAAAAAGTACAATCTTGATACGGTATGAGGTTTTCTTGATACGAGGATAGGAATACGCAGTGAAGGACTTTTTTGAGGCGCCTCAAAAACCGAGTCAGAGTGAAGGACTTTTTTTTAGGCGCCTCAAAAACCGAATCAGAGTGAAGGACTTTTTTTGAGGCGCCTCAAAAAACCGAGTCAGAGTGAAGGACTGTGCTCCCTATTGTCAAGTGAGATGCTTTTCACCTCCTCGATCAATGAGTAGCTGTGCCTGTGGAATCACCATGACACAAGGTATGAAGGAATGGCTGCACTGCACGGATTGACATTGTTCAAGAGTACACACTTGAGTCGCTGGAGCGTGGATGTTATATGCATCGCATACTGCCTGAATACAAAGACCAAAGGCAGAGGATTGTCAACTGGAAGGTAGGGTGCGCTGCTTTCACCATGAGCAGTGCCTGGAAGAGCTTGGGTAGGGTGCGTCAGTGATAGACAAGAACATGGTCCTGTCGGGGAGCAAAGGCCATCAGGGATTTCGGCAGCACAGCCGGCATGGTGTTCCCTACTACCGGTCCATCGCACTCTGCTCCCTATCTTCGCATCATTCGTCCGTGAGCAACGTCTGAAAAATCTTGGGTCCGTCGGGAATGACTGAGAGGTCCACATAGTCTGGGATCTCCGCCTTGCTGACCCATGCGAAATCCTTTATTGTCCGGGCAGCTGGTTGGAAATCACCTCCTAGGACATGGGCTCGGAAGAAGAAGGCCGTGGCTGCAGCCTGGGATTGAATCAGAGAGGGAGATGGGGAGGTGGAGGGAGGTGAGAGGATTGTTTAGGCAGGGTGACAATGGTCGCATCATGCGCTGGTTGGAACGAAGAGGGAGATGGGGAGGTGGAGGGAAATGGTTGTATCATGCGCTGGTTGGAACTCTCCTCCTACGACATGCGCTCGGAAATAGAACGCCGTGGTAACAGCCTGGTCGGAACAAAGATTGCCAACGGGAGAAAGGGGAACGTGTGTGGGGATGGGGGGCGGTGTGAGGGAGGTGAGGTGAGACAGGCCCATGACTGAGATAGGGTATGGCATAGAGTGACACGAGGTGTGACAGAGGTGTGACACAGAGGTGTGACAGAGGGTGTGACAGAGGTGTGACAGAGGTGTGTCGTAAGGTGCTGTGCGAGAAGAATGGGTGCAAAACAAGGATGGCACAAACAGGTCAATGCGAGAATCAGGATGTACAACCTTCCATACTCGTTACAGTCACACGCAGCAGCAATGGGTAGAATACAGGAGGGCCACAGGCACAGGGCACATCGCGAGTGAGGCACCCACGAAATGGACACATGTAGTGCTCGCCTGCACCTCTCATGTCGCAACACAACAACACAACGGGTATTACCATGGGAGCCAAAGGGAGGAGCATGCATAAATGCACCTCTCATGTTGCGATGGAACGCAAAGACCACAATGGGTATTACCATGGGAGCATGCGCGCAGGGAGCATTGCCGACAAAGTAGAGATCGAGGGAGGAGCCGAGGGATGCTGCTGCTGCCCTCTCCGCACACTGCAGGTGAACACAAAGGTGAACACAAAGGTGAACACCAAGGTGAGGTGCATGCACGGGGGAAGTGGAGAGAGGAAGAAAGAAGGTGAGAAGAGGAGGGGAAATAACAGAGAAAGAGAATGTGGGCAAGGAAGGAAACCAAGCGATGGAGAAAAGGAAGAAGGCCATGGTGCAGGGTTGGGAGGGATGGTGGTAAGAGGAGTCACTTTTAAGAATTCCATGTGAATCAAGTAGGTACTCCTGGAATGAAACACACGTGGCATGTGAAACATACGTGGCATGTGAAGCACATGTGGCATGTGAAGCACACGTGGCATGTGAAGCACGCGTGGCATGTGAAGCACACATGGCATGTGAAGCACGCGTGGCATGTGAAGCACACGTGGCATGTGAAGCACACGTGGCATGTGAAACACACCTGGCGCATGGAGTCTTCGCCTTCATAAAGCTTCTCCGGAAAGTGCCACGTGTCGCTGCCTGATTGGCCGGCAAGCGAGGGCCCCTTGAGCAGCAGGTACAGGCGCTTGTCCAACGCGCGCTGCAGAGACCTGGAGAGAAGAAAAGATGGGGAAGGAGGACGGAAGGAAGAGGGAAAAGGGGGAGAGTGGGGGGAGTGGGAGCAGCAGCAGGTACAGGTGCTTGTCCAGTGCGCGCTGTGATGAGGCGATACAGAAAGGTACAGGTACAGGTGCTTGTCCAGTGCGCGCTGCAGGGACCTGGTGGGGGTGGGTGGTGGAGAGGGGAGGCGGAAAGAAGGAAGGGGGAAGTTGGGGGAGTGGGGTCATGGCAAGAGCAGGTAGGTAAAGGTGCTTGTCCAGCGACCGCTGCAGGGACCTGGTGAGAGGGGGGAGTGGGGACAGTGAGGGGGAGGGAGGTCAGTGAGGGGGGGGGGAGGTCAATGAGGGCGAGGGAGACACAGAAAAAGCAGTTAGGCTTAGCAAGCTGAGGAGGTTTGATTGTGCTGGTCAGTGAAGTTGTCTGAAAGGGAGCTTCTTTACTTCACGCCTTCCCACCCACCCACCCACCCACCCACCCACCTGACGTCATTAGCCTCGTCAGCAGCGGTTCGTCTGGAAGGCGCGTCGAACGGCGAGTCGAGGACTCCCGCCCAATACTCGTCTTCCTCCTCGCCCTCGCCCTCCGCGCCTGCTGCGCGCGCGGCGGAGGGCGTGCGCGGAGGGGAGAGGGGTGTTCGCGGGGGGTTGAGCGGGGGTGCGCGGGGAGAGGAGGTAGGGGTAGGTTGGGGAACGGAGTAGGGAATGGTTTAGCGGGTAAGCCGGCGGGAAGACAGGGCCACGGGATATGTTGTTTTTTGAGAAGACTCAAGAGGAGGCATGCGTGCTGGAAGACTGGTGATGGCGAAACGAGGGGGGAGCGGCCAGAGGATCTGCCGTTAGGAGAGAAGAGAAGCACGGAACCGACACGTGGCACACCTGCATTGGTCGAAGCGGCCGCGTCCATAAATTCTTTAGGATACTGCTTGCGATATTGCTGCTTCCGCTCGAAACTGTCACAAATGCAGAGGGAACAAACGGGTGCTCGTTATTGTCACACCTGGCATGCTAGCAAACCAATAAACGCCTTGACGTAACCAATCAACCCGATGCGCGAAAGAGGCTACTACGATCACGTGCATAAAAGCCTCGAGAGATTCCCAGGGCGCCTCGATACACGAACCTAAACGACTCGTATTTAAGAGCCCATTCGGGAGGCTTCGGGATGACGACAGGCAGCCGCTCGACCAATAGCGACGCGATCAGCTGCTGACCCGCCGAGCCGCTATCTACGCTGCTCTCTGCGCTGAATAATCTTGCAGCAGCAGCGGTGCCAGCTGACACACTTTGATTCGCCATCGCGGACGGCGCGATCCATGGTGATCTGCTCGCGGCTGACGCGGACAGGCAAGCAGGAATCGCGCCGGATGGTGCGGATCCGGCAGGAGCGGCAGAGGCGGCGAGGCGACCTAAGTGAATTGCTTGAACTGCGGCTCGACGCATGGTACGCGGACGGACAAAATTCCGTGGTTTCCTAGCGTCGATCGCGCTGCGGGTCTCGACGATCAAGGTGTGGTAGTTAGGGGAAAAACAGGTTACAAGGAGCGAGAACCCGCAGCGTTCAATATAGGAGCGAACCGCCAAATATCATGTGCATAAGAACATCAGTTTAGGAACCTCGAGAGGCTGAGCGAAAGAGGCTGTGTACCATCCCTGTTTCTCGCGAAATTCGCGCATTCAAAAGCGACAGTAAACCATGACCCCGGGGTCCTCGTTTCGCAAAAGTTATTGAATACGCACAGTAACCATCTCGCGAACACGACACTCCTTTCCTACCCCCTGGCTGCTTCCTTTTGGTTGGACCCCCCAAAACTGCACGGCAATCCCAAAGACTTCACCAAAAAGCACACCCCTTCACTTACCTACTGCATTTTCTTGCTTGCTGTGAGAATCTGAAAGCTTTTGATCAGCACGCGCTCTTGAAACCGAACAATGCTGGTCAGCCTTCCGAGGCCCGCAATTAACGATGGCCCTTGTAAGAATCTTCCGGTGGTCCGCGCTAAATCAGAACCTCCTGAACGCTTGCATTCTCGCATAGCTGTCAAACCTCACAGGGTGGTTCGCCCTCCCCCTCTGCGACCAATATACAGGAATATTCAAGCAGCCCAAAATCTCCCATTCAAGAAAATCCCTATGAACCTTTCCCGGGCAGCGCTTAGTAACGCCATTCCTGCTCCACGCCCCCCCCTAACACAGAGAAACGGTAACGCCGTCACCATTTCCCGACTTCCAGGTCCAATCCCCCGCAATCTCCGCACGAAAGTATGCTCGGCCGACGGAACCAGTGTATCAAGAAAACCCTCGTTTCGTGGCTCTCCCGCAACCTACAGAAAGAGCACCCGACAGATCACGCAAGATTATGACCCACAAATACCAGGCTGAAACAGGAAATCATGGCGCACCACGAAATGCAGGGAAAAACACTACACGAGCAGCACCAATCGTTTTATGGACATGTGGCAGCGCACTCGGCGTAGGAGCCAGGAGAGCCTCTGATATGCCTGGGGATGGATCCGCGGGCAAACTGAACGGGAGAAGTTGCGAAGGAGAGATTAAAGCCAGGAATGGGGGCGGAGGAGAAGGAGGAGGAGGAGGAGGAGGAGGAGGAGGAGGAGGAGGAGGAGGAGGAGGAGGAGGAGGAGGAGGAGGAGGAGGAGGAGGAGGAAGGGGAACGAGGCCTCTTCGTCTGCTCACCTGGAAATTATCCCTCCGCTGGTCCCTCTGTCTCCTCTTCAGCGCCTTCCGCTCCCCCCTCTACCCCCACCTCTTCCCCGTCTGCGCCTTCTCCTCCCCCGTTTGCGCCCGCCCGTCCCCACATCCCCGCCGGCACGCCTCTTGCTGTCCGTGCCTCTGCGCGCCACGCTATGGGTGCCTCTGCACGCCACTCAGCAGGAGGGGGAGGCGGAGGAAGGGGGGTAGCGGGGAGTCCAGTGCAGCGACTGGCGATCGCGCTGCTGCAGGCAGTCTGTGGAGAAGGGGAGGGAGGGGTGGGCGGTGGGGAGCGGGAGGGAGGGAGGGGAGTAGTGGGGAAAGAGGCTGGTTGGGAGAAGGCGATGCAGGGAGGTGAGGGGAGGGAGAAGGAGGAGCAGCAGTGGGAGGAGGGGGCGGCGGGCAGCATATGGCGACAGTATGCAGAGGAGCTGCTTCCGAGAGAGATAGAGGCACGTGGTGCTGGTGTGATAGCATGCATGGTGTAGTGTGGTGCGGTGTGGTGTGGTGTGGTGTGGCATGGCATGGCACAGAATGGTAGACATGGCACATTACGGTATGAAATGATAAGCAGTGGAGCGAGCATACTATAGTATACCATGGGAGGGGGGTACATGGTACGTACGAAATACCGTTTCTCCTTTCAGTCACCCCACTTGCCCCTCCTGTTAGAATAACAGTTGGAAGTTAGAAACGAGAAAGAGGGGTTTGGCACTAGAAGGCAGTTGAGTACATATAGGAAACCCTAGATTGGGCTGTACTCACTATTGAGTACCCCACTGCAGGCTAGACAAATATAACATTCTTGACACACACCCCATAGCCAAAGTGGGGTGTAATCAGTACAGCAAGCAAAGCAAAACAAGCTCAGAGTGGATCACAAAGTCAACCACACATTCTGAGCACAAGTACAGGAAGTAGTAGCTTTATAGTTCACAGCATAAGTAAAGCTAGAGGCTATCACAGAGGGCAAGTGAGGAGGAGGAGGCTGGACTAATAGGAAAGGAGAGAGGAGGCAACGGCGGAAGCTGCAGACACACGGGCAACAGGAGCGGCGCGCACTGTGGCTACCGAAGGCGCACCTCCGGACCTACAGGAGTAACTGGCTCCGCGGCTAAGACGAGCGGCAGGAGCAACGGACCCACGGGCGACTGGCGCAGCAGCATCACTGGGCTACCGGAAGCGCACCTCCGGACTACTGGCGCTGCTGACGACACGACGGCTACCTCCACCCAACCTCCCCCACTGTCGCACCCCCCTGTCACACACCCCCTGCTGCACCCCTAGGTTCACTCACACTCCACCCCTAGCACCACTCCGTCGACCCACACACACCCACCCCCCTCAGGCGGCAGCTGCAGCAGTGGGAGACGAAGGAGGAGGAGGAGCAGGTGATGCCACACACCCGCCACCCCCCAAACCCTAACACAGGGCAGGGCCGGAGATGGCGGGTAGGGAGGTTACGGGGGAGGGGGGGGGGAGGGGGGGGCAGGGCCGGTACAGGGCCGGGGCAGGATCGGGGACGGACGGCAGGGCCGGGCAACGCAGGGCCGGGCAGGGCCGCGACGAAGACGAGAGGGGCCGACGCGTGGCCCTCTTCTGTCGCGGCCCCCCCCAGGGCGCCGCGACGGGCGACGGGAATTGGGGCCGCGCGGGCCCCCGTTGGCGCCGCGACGGGCGACGAAGGGGGGGCGCCGCGCGGGCCCCCGTTGACGTCGCGACGGGCGACAAAAGGGGGGGACCGCGCACGAGCCCCCCGGGCGACGAAACCGCCGTGCGCCCCGAGGCGCGCGACGGGCAGGGCACCGTCGCGCGCCACGGGGCGCACGACGGGCAAATCAGGGCGTCGCGCTGCCCCCAGGGCGGCGCGACGAGCAGAAAACCGCCGCGCGACTCGAGCTCGCGGCGGGAAGAAAAAAGGCCGCGCGCCATGGGCGCGCGGCAGACAGGAAGACAGTGCGCGCCCGAGGCGCGCGATAGGCAGTATAGCAGCGGAAGGCAATGGTGGGCCCATGCACAGGATCGACCCAGAAGGGTCGACCTGCTCTGATTCCATGTTAGAATAACAGTTGGAAGTTAGAAACGAGAAAGAAGGGTTTGCACTAGCAGGCAGTTGAGTACATATAGGAAACCCTAGATTGGGCTGTACTCACTATTGAGTACCCCACTGCAGGCTAGACAAATATAACATTCTGACACCTCCCCCCTCCCCTCTTTTTCCCATCTCTCCTGTCACCACCGTCCCTGCGTCTCTTCAGTTCAGACTCTGGCTGATTGGAGCGAGGAGGAGTTAGAGCACCTGCAGTCGCCGCCAGCAGCAGCGGAGGTGCGAGGTTACGCGGCAGAGATGGCAGCAATGGAAGCGGCAGTGTCTGCTGCCGTGCCAGGGGCCGGGAGAGAGAGAGCCCGCTGGGCTCTGCGCATTGTTACCTCACGTTCCTTTTCCATCTCTAATGCCGCTGACCCTGCCGGTGCTGCTGCTGGTGCTGCCAGTGCTCCCGGTGGTACCAGTGCTACCGATGCTGCCGAGCCTGCCGTCCTTGCTCATCCTGCCGAACCTGCCAAGGCTGGTGGTGCTGCGGAGTTCAGAGGAGCCGCTGTGGACACACCGCTCAGGGATGGGGACAGGGGTGGCGGATCGGGGGAAGAAGTTGCCATCTGCATTTCAGGTATGTGCCTCTCTTGCCATCTGCATTTCAGGTATGTGCCTCTCTTGCCGTCTGCATTTCAGGTATGTGCCTCTCTTGCCATCCTCTGCGCTTCTGTGAGGCTGGTTGGAGATGGCATGCATGGGTAGTGTCTGATGGGGTAGTGTCTGATGGGGTAGTGTCTGATGGGGTAGTGTCTGATGGGGCAACTAAGTGGTCGCCCAGATGGTCACATCCCGTGCTTCCCCCACAAACTCTCAGCCTTCTTCCAGTCCCGCTATCAGACACGCCCATTTGCGCTTGCAGCACTGCCACTGCCACTCTTGGCACCGACTCGGGGATTCAATCTTGGCCATGCTGTTCTCTCCTTCCTCCCTTACATCCTCTCTTCGTTCCTCAGTCCCATCCCACCCTTTTCGCTCGTAATAGGAGGAGTGCAGTTTGTGAGCTGCAAACACTACAGCCCTTACACGACGTGATAAAGGATTGGTTTTGAAACGACTCAAAGCCAATATTCTACCACTGCATGCAGCCCTTATGTTATTTGTGAAGACGGCTGTGTGCTGCTGAGCTGCTCTCTCCACCCTCCCTTCCGTCCTCCCTCGCACCTCAGCACCATCCCATCCCATCCTTTTTTCCCCCCTCTCCCTCCCTTGTTTTCTCCCCTCTCTCCCCATCGTTCCCCACTCCAGGTGCTGGTGCTGCTGGTGGACATGGCCCATCCTCGTTACAAGACATTCGTATCCCACACCGTGTCCTCTCCCCTCCCCTCTCCTCTCCTCTCCTCTCTTCTCCTCTCCTCTCCTCTCCTCTCCTCTCCTCTCCTCTCCTCTCCTCTCCTCTCCTCTCCGCTCCACCCCTACGTGCTGGTGGACATGGCCAACCACACCTGCAGCGCGACCACACATTCACATGCAGCTGTGCAGCCGTCTTACACTCCCTCTACCTCCTTGCTCCTCCATCCATGCCCCATGCGCCTCATGCCCTATGCTCTCCTCTCATTCCCAGGTGCTGCTGGTGCCTCTAGTGGACATGGCCAATCACGCCTGCAGCGCTGCCATGCCACCCATTCACACGCACCCATGCAGCCGTCTCACACCAGTCCTCTCTCTCCTCTTCCAACCACGGCAGGTGCTGGTGCCTCTAGTGGACATGGCCAATCACGCCTGCAGCGCTGCCACGGATTCACATGCTTCTGTGCAGCCTTCCGCCACGTGGCGCATCAGGAGAGGGCGGACGCAGGTGGGAGAGTGGGGGATGCATGTGGATTTGGTGGTGAAACTAGAGGGCTGGGTAGAGCTGAAGAGGTTTCAGAGATAAAGCAACTCGAGTGATGAGGGCGTTTGGTCTGTGCATGTGTGGGCATGTGGGTGGAGAGATAAAGCAACCCCAATCCCAAACTGTCCTTCCCCTCCATTTCCTCCCTCCCATCCCACCAACCACGGCTTCGCATCCACGCCATCTCCTCCCCGTTTTGAGCTGCTGGCATCACGCCCACTCCGTCCCGGTGCCACAGTCACCATCTCCTACAGCCCTTCAGATTCTCACCCCCTCATCCTGCTCGCTTTCCCATCCCTCTCATCCTACCAACCAGGGCTTCGCGTCCACGCCGTCCCCTCCGCGCTTTGAGCTACTCGCATCTCGCCCACTGCGCCCCGGCGCCCAAGTCACCATCAGCTACGGCCCCCTCACCTCCCTCGCCTTCCTCCTCTCCTTCGGCTTCCTCCCGTGCAACAACCCCGCCAACCGAATCACCATCTACTCCCACTCCGAGGTAATGTGTGAAGAATGAGGGAAAGCATGTGAAAAACAACGTGCAATTCAGTTTTGGTATCCCAACCAGCTCTACTGGCTGGGATCGCCCTGTAGTCCAATCTATCTGCCAACTCAACGTTCAAGACCCAGCTAAATTTCCATCACATCCCATCCTTCCCGTCTCCTCTTCAGTCTAAATCCGTTTGCGCACTAAACCAAATGCCTTCGAACTTGATGAATCCAGTCTATCTTCTTGTCTAACACCGAGCTATTTCACCCGAACTTGAGCATTTCAGTTTCAAGATTCCACTCCACTGTATAAAACTCAGTCTACCTCCACAACTCCCATGCTCTCCCACTGCTGTTTCTTCAAAATTCTCACAAGACAACTAGCTTGATTCCACATGGCAACTCAACTCGTCTCCACACCTCCCATGCTCTCCCCCCACGGTGGAGCAAACGATGGACGATGTGGAGGAGAGGGTCACTCGCCTGCAGCACAAGCGGCACTTGCTCTCACAGATGACTGCTCCTCTGCGTTTCCGTGGTTTAGCTAATGACCTGAGAAGTGTTTCAAGTTTATCCATCCTCCCACCCATGCCACGGTGGTGCAGCAAATGATGGATGATGTGGAGGAGAGGGTCACGCGCCTGCAGCACAAGCGGCACCTGCTCTCACAGATGACCCCAGAGGACGCTCCTCTGCTCGCCTACACCGGTAAGGCCCTCGCCTCTCCTCACCTGCACTCACCGCCGCTCACTCTCGCTTGCTCTCTCTCTGGCCTTTCCACTCCTCATCCATCCACCTTGCATGCCTCCCTGTCCCCTCATCCAGGCGGCATAGAAACAAGGCTGATGGAGTGTCTGTTCGTGCCGCATGCACCTTTAGTTTGTGCCATCGCCCGTGTCACCCATCCGCCCTGCCTGTCTAACCATCCAGGCGGCATAGCAACAAGGCTGATGGAGTGTCTGCTCGTGCTGCATGCATCATCAGCAGAGGAGCTCGCTCATCTCGACCACCACTGGACTGCCTCTCGCTCCCTCACTGCTGCCAACGTCTCGCCGCGTACACGCTCCGTGGCAGGTATGTTACCGCCACTCTGAGCTGGTTGTTGAGAGCTGTAAGGTAGCAGTTGGTCTATTTTGAGGGGCCTCGAAAGGTGGCAGGTGTGTGCCTTCTTTTCTGAGCTTGCTGTTGAGAGTTGTAAGGTAGCAGCTGGTTTGCAAATAGATCATCTCCCCATGTGCTCACTCCATGGCAGGTGCATCTTAATCGCCTTGCGCTGATTTCCATGTTGCGATCATGCACAGACGTTTTCCTTTTACGCGTTCTTCTTTCACCCTTTGATGCTAAAATGAATGCGGAACTTACCCACATAAGCATCCCACACCATGCCACACTGTGCCTCTTCTCTTTCACCTCCCCGGAACAGCCAAGCAGCTGGTGGATCGCTGCAGGGAGCTCCTGAACGACTACCCAATCACACTGCAAGCCGATGAGGCACTGCTGGAGCAGCTCATGGGAGCCGCGGTGAATGATGAGCGGATTGAGGGGAGTGAGAGGGGTGAGCATGAGCAGGAGGGGAAAACGCAGCGGCGCTTGCAGGCGGCAGTGGAGTACCGGGTGGAGGAGAAACGGATCCTTGCAGATGCCATTTCTCGCTACGGTAGGATGGTGTGAGGCTGGCAGGCGGGCAAGTCATAACTAGTGAGGCACATTCACCTAGTATGGTAGTGCCTCGTTTGACCATGATGTGAGCTTGATTTTTTTCACTTAATTAGAATGGATGTGGTGGTGTCTAACTAAAGAATTGTGCCGGTCAAAATTGTTGGGCTGATTGTACAGTACCAAAACATAGTGTTGAAGGAGTGAAGGAACGATGTCAGGCTGTTGATGTCACATCACATTGCTGATGTCCATGCCATTCGCGAATTGCAATCTACAAGGTACCTACCTTTCCGAAACTATAGAGCATGGACCATGGTTTGTTGGGATGTCGCACATTTCTGAGACAAGGAACAGCCAATTTCAAGGGCATTCTGGCAACGGCACAATCGCTACGAGTAACTTTTCTTCACCATGCTGTGTGACCCTATATCAAACCATGCAACAGCAAGTGCATGCCTGGCTTGCTGGCTTTAAACATGAAGCGTCCAGTTTTGATTACTATTATTCAACCCAAACTTGTAGGCATGGTGCTCAAATTGCGGTCCAACTCCAGCTGGAGCGAGTCGTGCTTGCAGCATGCACGGCTGGTAACTAAGCATGACGGAACCTGCAGAATACACACCAGTAAGATGTAACAGGCGTGGAAAGTAGAGAATTGTTGCAGCACACGCCTCAGTAGGGCATCAACCAGTGGCTGGTAGATCAGAGGAACATGATTAGCAGTAACACAAACCGATGGACCACATCACCAGTTTTTTAGTCGACTCAAAAACTGTGGCTGGCAGATCAGAGGAACATGATTAGCAGTAACATGAACCGATGGAGCACGTCACCATGTGGCTTTGCGACTATCGATGCTACAGAAATTTGAGACCATTGAGATGCACTCCATGCAAACCCTCTTTGCCCAGATTAATGGTGTGTGCACGTGTATATGTGTGTGCGTGCCTGGCTGCGTGTATGTGTGTGGGTGTGTGTGTGTGTGTGAGTGTGAGTGTGTGTGTGTGAGTGTGTGTGTGTGAGTGTGTGTGTGTGAGTGTGTGTGTGTGAGTGTGAGTGTGTGTGTGTGTGTGTGCGCGCGCGCGCATGCGTGCATGTGTGTGTGTGTTTTTGGTTGAAGCCAATTCACCGCAGTCACTCTCCAGCCAAACCTCACTGCACACACAATCTTCCTCTGTTCCATCGCACCAAACAGCTACCTACATTCCACAGGGGAATAACTACACCTTGTTGACTCACGCAGAAACAAAGCCAACAGCAATGCATTGCCAGGTTCAGCAGAAGCATGTCCAAGTAGAGAGAGGGGAAAAGGGGGGAGGACTCAGCGTATTCGCATCACGTGGACACAGCGCTCGCCCTTCCTGAGGTGACCTTTGATTCAACTGAGAGTCACTTTTGAATCGACACAGAAGTAAAACAATAAAGAGTGGAAAAGGGGTGGACTCACTGTATTCTCATCACGTGGACTGAACGCTCGCCTTTTCTTAGGATGACGGATGGGAACTTGGGCTCATTCACCTGCCACAAGGGCAGTGAGCGTGGTACATCTTTTGAGAAGACACCAAGAACGTGTGGCATGCATGGACTTGTAAATCCATTCTGCATGTGGATGTGTCTACCAGTTGATTGGCTGTGCAGGCACAAAGTGATCATGAAGGGGAGAGTGCAGTGGAACACATCTGAACAACAAAGGTAGAATTCTGGATGGACAAGGAGGTTTGGGCAGCAGCAAAAAAAAAAAAAAAAAAAAACTTGTGGTTGCATGTCATAAGTTGGGTGCATGTGGAAGGATGATGCTTGGAAATTGCAAGAGCGTGTGTCAAGAGTGTCACGATTGGGGTCGAAGTTGCAGCAGAGATGCATGTGGAGAGGAGAGGCGTCAAGATAGAACGTGTCCATATTCAGTGGCAGCAGATGCAGTCACTGTTGAGGTGTCCAGATTCAATGAACGTATGTACCGCATTTGGGAAGCCCTGAAATGGAACGCAGGGAGGAGACAGAACGGTAATGAGTGGTAGAGAGACGTTTAGAATAGTGAGACAATGCGTCGATGTGCTTGCGACATTGGATAGCATGGTAGGAGGATACGAGGGAAGAGATCATGGGGAGAAACGGGACACGAGATGAAGGTTTATTTTTTGAGACAAACAGCGCTTCAAAGAGCTGACCTGTGTTTCAAGACAGAAGCCTGCGTGCTGCTGATAAGCTGTGCCTCCCTTTCCTGTCACCAATGCAATCAAAGCCATGCCATGGAATAACAAGTATTGAAATGACATGCAATCAATGTCAGTAAGGAAATGACTGGATTAACAAGTATTGAAGCAATACAATGCTCAGATGAAGGGCGCATGCTAACAGGGAGTCAAGGTAATACTCGAATGCAGAGAATCAATGCCCCACCTTTGAACGAACCATCCAGGAAGTTGCCTGTGTAGAACTGCATGGCAGGAGCATTAGTCGACAAGGTCATGAGGATGCCTGTCTCCGGGTGCCGCACTCGGGCAGCCAGAAACAATTTCTGCCCGCCACCACTGCTTCATCTTCATTTGTTGCCCCACCCGCCAATGCTCCTTCCGATCCTTCCGTTCCTGCCTCTCCCCCAGCCGGTAGATGTTCCCCGCTCCAACTGTGTGTGCAGTGCAGCACGTAGTTATGATCGTACCCGCCTGCCACGTCAGCCATGCGTGCGCCAATGGGGAAGTCCCGCGAGAGGAAGTCAAAGGGGGTGTCTGCTACCTGTGATGCGGTGGTGGTGGGAGTGGTTGAGTTGGGAAGAAAACAACGGCAGTTCCATCAGACGGTGGAGAGGAAACGGAAACGTTTCTTACCCCTCTCAAGGACATATTTTTTTTTTAGAGTTTTGTATTTTCAAAAACATTCACGACACACACTGGTGGTGAAGTGTGCCGAATAATAATATCCTGAAAATACTTCAAATCACCCTGGAGCTGGCAGCGAGTGATGCTGCCAGGGAAGGCGTACCGGCAAAATTTCGCCTGTGGGGATGTGGTTGGCATTGATTGGCGTGTAGTGGGAGGCGTTGACTCGCACAACGTGGCCATGCACTGTTTCCACTGGTATGGCCGCCCAGATTCCAGTACCTGTCAGCATGGGAAGGGGGTGTGGCCATGTGGGTGGGAAGGGGAGGGGAATGTCAATGGCGAGATGGAGAGATCGCGAGTTGGTGAGGGGGGTGTGGCTCAGGGTGTGGATGTGGCAAGGCATAAGAGCTGATACAATATGGAGGGAAAAGGGAAGAAAAGGGATAGGGAATATAGGCTTGGATAGGCTTGTGATGTGACACGGATCGCACACGCCCCCATGGACCACCAGCCTGTAGTTCACCCTACCAGTGCATATCAATCCCCTCTATGCACCCACACACACGCACATGTGATGCACCCACACACACGCACATGTGATGTGCCATGCTGACGGGAGTATCCCTGTCAACAGCATGTGCCGCCATGACCACCACCATCTCCCCATCACCCAGCCTGTAGCTCACTCGGACCTCCACCCGCCCTGGGAACCCCTCCTCCCCGTCCCCACTCGTCAGCGCCAGATTCAACTCCGTGCTGCTGCCTGCTGCTCCTCCCTCCTCTGCTGCTGCTGCTCCTGCTGATGATGATACAGTGGGTACTATCTTGTCGATTTCATCCGTGCCTACCACACGCCATATTCGCTTGTCAAATCCCACTTTGCCACCTGTCAGCAGAAATGTGTTCAAGTTTGCCATGAAGAAGAAACGTGGCATCCCACTAGACTCGCTTTGGCCCAAGTGATTCTTTGTGTATGTCAAGTCAACACAGTCAAATTGCAGATAGTTTATGAATTGTGCTCACACATCTATCCTCGCTGGCTCTCATGCAAGCATGCATGCTCACACACTCACATGCCCCTCGCTCATCCCTCACCATGCAGTGTGTTGGGGCGAGGGTCATCGTTGGCCGTCAGATGGTGGATTTGACCGTCCAGATTGAAACTGAGCTCCTGCAATGCGATTGGCCACTCGGCCAACCACACAGCGAAGTACGGCGATGTGCCATCCTGCACCATGACATACGCACCATGAAGAAGTAAAAACAAAAGAAGTAAAATTCCACCAAGTAATTGCTGCTTATCATATTACTTCCTGTAAATGTTTATTTGACGATGAGGGAGGAGCTTAAGCGAGAGGATACTGGCGCATGATGCTCACTTGTACCCAATATGGAAGCAAACACACTTGTTAACCAATAACATACCACTAGGTGAAACGTTAATAACCGTGTGCATGGCATATCGTTTTCATGACTGCACTGACACTAGCATTGTCCTGCTACCGTTGAATGTACAGTGCAATGGATGCTATTACCTGGTAAGGCTGCTATTACCTGGTAAGGCTGCTATTAGCGTGCTATTACCTGGTAAGGCTGCTAGTACCTGGTAAGGCTGAGCGGTGTCGAAGCCGAGAGCTATGTCATGCAGCTGACCTGAGGGAGGGTGGGAAAGGGAGAGAGAGGCCGATAGAATGAGGGAATGTCAGCGGTGCAGCGAAGGGAAAGGCAGAGAGAAGACGATAAACGGGAAGAGAGGGAGATTAACGATGAGAGGGAGGGTCAGGAAAACGAAGTCTAGGAACGGAGTGCGGGAACGATGCCAGAAGAATCTATACCAAGGTAAGGTGGGGAATTGGAAAAAGTGGAGGGCCGGAAAAGGATATGAGACAGCGAATCTGAAACGGTTAGGCTCGTGACAGTAGTTGAGGCGACTCAACATGAGACATAGGGGCTAACCGCGTGCATCGGGAAACGTTAAGGCTCGTGACAGTGGCGCCAAGGTTGGTGATGGTCGCCGTGAGGCCTCCTCGCTGCAGCTTGAAGAGCCTCACGTCGGGGTCCAGCGAAAAAGCTGGCGACGAGATGTCCTCCATCATTGGCGAGCGCACGAGTGTCAGAAAGATGAACGCGACGAAGCTATTAGCCGTTTCTTTTGGACCAGATGTGAAGAAATGACTAGAGATTTCGGAAAGTGGAAGGAAGGATGGAGGGAATAGAGGACATGGATTGGAGGTTGACAGTGGATGGATGGAATTCGGAACAGGCAAAACCAAGGTTGCCTAGGGGGACATTGTACGCGTTAGTGTTCACCAAGTTCTCCCTGCGAATAAAAATCGCTAGAATGGCACTGCGCCCTGACTTGGTGAATACAGGATGTCTCGGTTAAAAAGTGGTCAAGTTTGAGTGAAGAAGTCTGTTATAGAGCGTCTCGTCACAAAAACGATTCCCGCGCGAATACAACCCCAGAGCAAATCCCAAGGCAGACGGTGCGGCATTTCTCAACTTTCAGAAGTACTGATTCTGAAGCCTTGACCTTTTCCCTTGATTGGCAGTGGACGTCAACAGCAGCAAACAGGCACGACCTTTCCCACTACTCGTCACTCATCATCTTTATCTCTGTCGAGTTGATCTATTTTCTCGTCTGGCTCTACTGTTGTCCGACCACTCGAGCAGACAAGGATCGCTGAGCATCGTCATGCGTCTCAAGCTGATACGACTCTGCCGCGTCCGTACAAACCTGAACAATCGAGGGCTGCTGCCTGCGCGAACCAGTGGGACGTTGTTTAGGAGGAACAAGTGACCTGTTCAATCTGAACCATTGAATGAAATCGGTGGCGTCAGGTCCAATACGGTTCCGATCCCGCATCACCGGCATGCGTTGAGAAGCCTAATCAAGGCACTAACAGTTTTTTGTCCGTATTCACGGCCATGCACCTACGAAAACCTGTTGGTGACCTTTGAGACTTCTCAAAAGGCATCTAGCCAGGGTTGTAGCAGTTCTGTCGATAATGACGGTCATGCATCTACCAAAGACCACAGGTGGCTTCGCGCTTCCGCACTCGCCCCCCCGCCATTCGCGCCGCGCGTTGCTCCGCCATCGGCGGCAGCGATGCATGGTTCTGTTGGTGGTCGCGTGCGTGCTCGTCGTGATGCTGCTCTTCGTCTCGCTCCATCTGCCGTCGGTAGATTCGCTCCTGCCACGTGGCAAGCAGGTAATGGACGCTATTATACGACAGAGTCGTTGTCAGAGAGTTTTCCAAGCTAACTTAATGAGCGATCGTTCATGGCTTGTAGAGCGATCTCAGATTAAGCCGAGGAATAGTACCACGTATCTGACACAGACGCTTCTTACGAGACTAGTACGTCTTACATAGGAGACTCTAGAACCCAGCGTGCGAAGGAGTCGATTCACTCAAGGCGTAACCCTTCTAGACGGAGTTGACAAGATTCGTTTACGTCTCCTTCTCCGTCCCACCTGATCGCATCGCAGGCTACTCCTTCGCCCGTGGCCCCTCAATCTGCGCAGAAAGCTAACAACGTCGCAAACAACGGCTCACAGGTACCGTTGCTACGATCCGTCTCCCTCCTGTCCGTCCGATTCAAACCGTCCAATCGAATCACTGCCGACACCCGCAATCCGACATCCCATCCATCTTCCCCATCCTCTGCTCCCATCGTCCCATTCATGCGCTTCCGCTTCCGTTTCCCCCTTCCCCCACCCCTCGTTCCCCTCCCACTTTCCCCTTCCCCTTCTGCCAGCCATCGATCCGCGTGGCTCTCGCCACTCTCCGCGCCGATCCGACGTGGCAGCAGCTGCTGGATCCCGACTCCGCGGTGCGCCAGCTCAGCGACCAGATCAGCCTGGGAAAGGCGTATCTGACGCGCGCGCGGGATGCGGGGAGAGGGACTTTGGCGACGAGATGGAAGCGGGGCGTGCGAGCCGCAGAGGCGTTTCTCGCTCGCTCCATCGCTATCCCCAGGTGTGTCGTTGTTGGCTCAATTGAGAACGACCCCCACGTATGGCAGTGATTTAACACTGCGTGCGTACCGCAGAGGCATTCCTTGCTCGCTCCTTTGCTATCCCCGGGTGCGGCATTGTGGCCCACTATTCTTTATCCCTGTTATCGTTCTTCATGCCACAGTTCCAACTCTCCCTGCTTCTCCCTACTTGCTCACCATACGATTGATTCTAAATACACCTTTCCCCCTCTCACTACCCTCCTCCTCCTGCCACCAGGGCAAGCAGTGGACAAGCTAGAGGCGCGAGCACATATTGTAAACATGAGCGCGGTCCCTCTTCCCCCCCTGTCCCTCTCCTTCCCCATTTCTCGCCCACTCTCTTAATGCCATCAGCCAAGCAGTGTACAAGCTAGAGGCGCGAGCACATATTGCAAATATGAGCGCGCTCATCCTTCAGGCCAAGGAAATGCACTATGACATGTGAGTGTGGCAGCTGTTGACGTGGGAGTTGCTGTGGCTGCTGACATGAAAGCTGCTGTGGTTGCTGACTTGGGAGTTGCTGTGGTTGCTGACTTGGGAGTTGCTGTGGTTGCTTACTTGGAAGCTGCTGTGACTGCTGACGTGGGAGCTACTGTGTCTTCTGACGTGCTGGCTGCTGCCATTTTCACGTCAGCAGCCACAGCAGCTCCCACGTCAGCAGCCACAGTAGTGGCATGTGAGTGCAGCGGTATGCCGTGTGAGTGGGCTCTGGTTGAAATCCCCTGTTCTGTATCCTCCCAAAACTCTATATTGTAAGCTCCTGTTTTGAGATGTGTAAAAACTCAAAGAGTGTAATTCGCTGTTTTGAGACGTCTCAACACTCAACATTCTAGTGTTGTCCACCCTTGTCGCACTGTGCAGAGCGGCGGCAATGGCAGCGCTAAAGGAGAAAGTGGCCAAGGCAGAAGAGAAGGCCTCAAAGGCATCAGCTCAAGCCACTCTCGCCTCTCAGGTCCGTTCTGGATACCTCTGGGTTGAAATGAAGTCAATCCATTGATAGCGTCCATGGCTCTGCCCAGATGACCTGCTTACCTTGCTCCTGCCTCTGAAACATCATGTGTGAATTCACCAGCCCTTCACCACACTGCACTCCTCCATCACCACTCCAGGTGGTGTCAGAGGCCTTGACGTGCTGGAAGCCGCATCTATCTCCGAGGCACCTGTCGTCACTTCACCCCTCCATCCCACCACCAGGTGGTATCAGAGTCCATGCCCAAGCCAATGACGTGCCTGTACATGCGGCAGGCCAGGGAGTGGGCTCTGCTGCACTCCTCTATGGCCCATGACGAGCCTGTACCCGCGTCTATGTAAGGCACCTTTCACCACCATGCCTCACCGCACTGCACCCATCCAATCCCCTTCCAGGTGGTATCAGAGTCCATGCCCAAGCCCATGACGTGCCTGTACATGCGGCTGGCCAGGGAGTGGGCTCTGCTGCACTCCTCTGCTGCCCATGGCAGGATGGACGACGACGCTCTCCCCTTCCAAATACACCACGGCCTGGTGCGTTGCAAGGGGTCTTATATACTCTCCAATATGGCACATGCCGCTTGGGTTGGGTGACCTGGGATTGGTACACCTAGCAGTACAACATATGACGGCTGCATCTTAGAGTGGAGTGCCGCACCTGGCAGTGGCAGTGAGTAGTGAGTAGTACATGCATGCATGAGCCCATTTTTCTTTTCAGCAACGACTTTTTTCACTGCTCATTATTGAATGTACAGTCATTTCGTCTTTGTCTCATTGGTCCTTCTTCCAATGTCCACGCACGCACGCACACGCAGCGCAACAGCTCTCGCTTTTGAGAAAACTCAAGAGCAACTCAAAAGCGTGAGACGGGGGGACACTCTCTGCCACTCACGCATGCATGTTCTTCTTGAGAAATCCAAGAAAATTAACAACATGTTGACCGTGTCTACCATACTCGATTCATCACTCACGCCACTGCCCTCTTTGTCTTCCTGATCCTCTGTCAGCCTCCAGGCACTCTCGTGTAGTAGACACCTCGCTGCAGCAAGTGTGTATCTTCAGTGATAGCGTGCTGGCCGGCTCTGCCGCTATCAGGTTATCAAATTCGCACCTTGCCCCCTTCTCTCTCTCTCGTCTCCCAGCCCCCAGGCACGCCCAACAGCTCTCGTCTGGTGGACACCTCATTGCAGCACGTGTGTATCTTCAGTGACAACATGCTGGCCGTCTCTGCTGCCCTCAGGAGCTCAAATCCGCACCCCACCGCTCTCTCTCCCCTCCCGTCTCCCAGCCCGTAGGCATGCCCAACAGCTCTCGTCTGGTGGACACCTCATTGCAGCATTTGTGCATCTTCAGTGACAACGTGCTGGCCGTCTCTGCTGCTCTCAACTCCACTGTCCTCTCCTCCCACGACCCCTCACGGCTCGTCTTCCACATCGTCACCGACGCCACCACCTTCCCTGCCTTCATGGTGAGTCTGCCTCTGCTACGTTGGGGATATGCGTTTGTAGGTGGTGCGGTGCGTTAACGCGAGTGACATGCTCTGGTGCTGATTCAACTCCCGCTGTCTTGGCTCCTCAACTCCACTGTGCTCTCCTCTCCTCCCACGACCCCTCACGGCTGGTCTTCCACATCGTCACCGGCGCCACCACCTCATTTCCTTCCTACGTGGTGAGACTGCTTCTGCTACACCGGGGATATTGGCTTATGGGTTGTTCGGTGTGTTAGTGCGAGTGGCGTGCTCTGTTGCTGGTTTAACTCCAGCATGCTGGCCTGGGCGTGTCTGCTGCTCTCAACTCCACTGTTCTCTCTTCTTACAACCCCTTCCGCCTGCGCTTCCACGTCGTCACCGACGCCGCCTCCTTCCCTGCCTTCGTGGTAAGAAGAGAACATCATCAGGATGTGCGCTCGCTCATGGGTGGGCTTAGTTTTAGGTTGACTTGTTTTGATACGTCACCCCTCTCGCCTGGTCACGCCGTCACCGACGCGATGCCACCTTCTTTCCTGCCTTCCTGGTGACCCTTCCTTTCAGGGGGGTGTGCGCGCTCGAGTCGAGGATGTGCTGTTGGTTGGTGTGAGTGTAACAACACCCTCTCCTTCCCACCCTCCTTCCAGGTGTGGTTCTCCCGCCACCCACCCGACTCGGCATCACTAGAGGTGCGGCGGGTGGAGGCGAGAGCGGGTGGCTGAACGCGTCCTTTGCGCCCGTGTTGCGACAGATGCAGGACGCCGGTGCCAAGAGCTTCTACTTCTCCGCTGCTGCTGCTGACGATGTGCCCAGGGGAGAGGTGTTGTTGCTGTAGGCTGGGTTGCTGCCTGCAGAGAGGGTGGGCAAGACAAGACGGCCATGGAAAAGCGTCTGGCGATGAGAATCTCAGAAAATGATGTGCCGTGCCACAGTGCCCTTCAAGTGAGTGGTCTTTAGACACAGACAGCCTCACATAAAGGCCTGCTCTCTGTCTGTCTCCTTCCCTCTTCCGCCCTTCGTCCACCAAGGGAAGGAAGCGCCTTCTATCTCTGGCAGGAGCGAAGGAGCAAGGCGAGCTAGAGCTGAGAGTCACGTCCTTTGTTGCCGAAGCGATGGCAGCAGCGGGGGAGGTTGATTCTGGTGATAGACGAGGTGCATACGGCTCTCAAACAATCTTTTCTCTTTCTCTCTCCCTGCTTTCGACACCAGGGCAAACGGCTTCTATCCTTGGACATGGGGAGGGTGATGGCAGGAGCCAAGGAGAGAGGGGAGTTAGAATTGAGGGTGACTTCTTTGGTGGCAGAGGCGGTGGCAGCAGCGGGGGAGGTGATTCTGGTGATAGACGAGGTGCACACGATGGTGGGAGCTGGCGCCGTGGGGAGGGGCAGGGACGGTGGAGGGTCAGGACTGGACATCTCGAATCTGCTCAAGCCTGCTCTGTCCCGAGGGCAGATTCAGGTGAGATAGAGAGTTATTGAGTGCAGTTTGATTAATTGATTTGGAGGAATGATCTTGGTGCTGCTGTTTGTTGATAGATGAGGTGCACACGATGGTGGGAGCTGGCACTGTGGGGAGGGGACGGGACAGTGTTAGGGGCTGAGTGCGGTTGAGTGCTGTTTGGACTGGTAATCTTCAGGAATGATCTTGGTTTTGGCAGTGATAGATGAGGTCACACGATGGTGGGAGCTGGCCTGGCGACAGGGAGAAAAAGCATGGAAGCAACGCACGCCTCATTCATAGCAGAGGCAGTTTCTTTGACAGCATTAGCAACTGGAGAAGAGAAGGTGAGTGCAGCAGGAGTTTGGATACAGGACACATTGCGAGTGCTTGCAGCTGGAGTAGCCAAGGTATTTGAGGGGCAGCAGCCAAAGTGGATGAGAGGGTGACAGTCAAACCAAATATTGAAGCAGGGGGAACAGCACACACCGCATTAGCAGCAGGAGAAATGATTGCAAAGACACCCATGGCAAGAGCTACAAGTGTGACGCTGCAGGTAAAAGTCGCTTGTGCTGGGGCCGCTCACTCCCCTCTTCGCACCCCGTGAGCGGCTTTACCTGCAGCGTCGCCCTTGTGGCCTTTCGTACTTTTACATTTGCCGTTAATGTTGTTGCAATCCCTTCTTCTTCTGCTAGTGCGGCGTGTGTTGGCCTCTCTGCTTCTTTTTCTGCTAGTGCTGCTGCCCATTCATCCGCTTTGGCTGTCGCCCCTCTTTTGCTTCGGCTGCTCTAGCTGCAAGTGCTGCTAATGTGTCTTGTGTCTCTACCCCTATTGCACCTGACCTCTCGTCTTTCCTTCATCCCCCCTCAACTATCAGAGCATCTGTGCCACCACAACCACCAGCGAAATCGGCAAGCACTTGGAGAAGGGCAAGGTATTGGCCACACGTGCATTATGGCCTCCCATGTACCACCCCAACCCCCCTTCCGTCCCCTCACTTACACCCCTTTTCCCTTCAACCATCAGTGCATCGTCACCACCACCAGTGAGTTCAGCAAGCACTTGGAGAAGGACAAGGCTCTGGCTCAACGTCTGGTGCTTACTCTCCCCCTTCACCTCACCGCCTTCCTTGTCTCCCCCCTCCCATATATCAGTGCATCGCCACCACCACCACCTGCGAGTTCCGCAAGCACCTCGAGAAGGACAAGGCTCTGGCTCAACGTCTGGTGCTTACTGCTCTCCGCCTTTATCCCACCCTTCCCTTTTCCTCCCCCCATAACATCAGTGCATCGCCACCACCACCACCAGTGAGTTCCGCAAGCACCTTGAGAAGGACAAGGCACTGGCCAGGCGCTTTCACCGGTGACGGTGGAGGAACCTTCAGAGGTGAGTGGGTGTGGGATGCTCTTATAACGCGGATGGGATGGGACGGTTGTGCTGTGGTATGGTTGAGAAGGACAAGGCTCTGGCCCGGCGCTTTCAGCCGGTGACGGTGGACGAGCCCTCAGAGGTGAGTGGGAGACTGTATCCTATAACGGGATGTGGTATAACGAGGATGTGTATAACGAGGATGTGGTATAACGAGGATGTGGTATAACGAGGATGTGGTATGTGTGCTGCGGTTGGGTGGAGAAGAGCAAGGCTCTGGCCAGATGGTTTCAGCCGGTGACTGTGGACGAGCCTTGGAAGGCTCTTATAACGCGGATGGGATGGGATGGGAAGGGATGGGATGGGATGGGATGGGATGGGATGGGATGGGATGGGATGGGATGGGGTGGGGTGGGGTGGGATGGGGTGGGGTGGGGTGGGATGGGATGGGATGGAATGGAATGGGATGGGATGGTTTGTGCAATGGTATGGGTGAGAAGGACAAGGCACTGGCCAGGCGGTGTCAGCCGGTGACTTTAGACGAACCATCAGATTTGAGAGGGGGGTTGCATCTTATAACGGGGATGGGATGATTCGGTATATGAGAAGGGACGACGAGGCTCTGGGATGGGCTGAACTCTACACTCTCAGCATGTTCCACGCCCCTCCCAGGAAGCTCCCTTAGCCATCTCACTATATGAGGCCCACCACAAGCTCCCTTAGCCATCTCACTATATGAGGCCCACCACAAGTGTGCTCTCATCTCACAGACGGTGCTCTCCTGGCTGGAGCGACCCTCTCCCCGCAGATCATCCCAATTGCTGTGGGGTGTAATGCGGTGTACGCCGATGCAATGTGGTGTAACGTTCTTTTGATTCCCTCGTCCCTCCTCTGTCCAACTCAACCCACCTTCAGGAAGCCGCCCTAGCCATACTGCACGGCCTGCGGCACGTTTACGAGGCGCACCACAAGTGTGCTCTCACTGATGCTGCCCTGGCAGCCGCTGTAACCCTCTCCTGTGTGGCGACTCACGGTACCTCCACTCTCTGTGCCTTCTTTCCCTCCCTCCCTCCCTCCTCACTCCTCACACGAAGCCGCTCTGGCCAATCTTATACCACCTGCGCCACCTATACAAGGCCCACCACAAGTGTGTTCTCTCCGATTCCGCCCTGGCAGCCGCTGTAACCCTCTCTGCTCGTTTCATCCCCGATCACCGCCTGCCCGACAAGGAAATTGACCAAATCGATGCGGCGGCCAGTAGGAGCAGGGTGGAGGGCAGTGAGGGGAGGAGAGCAGGCGACTCACAGTACCACCCCTTGTGCATTCCTTCCCTTCCCTCTCTGCCCGCTTCCCCCCTTTCAGGAAGCCGCCTTGGAAATCCTACACGGGTTAAGGCACCTGTTCGAGGCCCACCACAAGTGCACTCTCACGGACGATGCTCTAGCAGCAGCAGTCACCCTCTCTGCCCGCTTCATCCCCGACCGCTGCCTGCCGGACAAGGCAATTGACCTGACCACGAGGCGGCCAGTAGACTGTGACTCACAGTACCACCTCTTGTGCCTTCTGTACCTTCCCTCTCTGCCCGCCTACCCCCTTTCAGGAAGCTGCCTTAGAAATCCTACACGGTCTGAGGCACCTATATGAGGCTCACCACAAGTGTGTTCTCTCCGACTCCGCCCTGGCAGCAGCAGTCACCCTCTCTGCGCGCTTCATCCCCGACCGCTGCCTGCCTGACAAGGCAATTGACTTGATAGACGAGGCGGCCAGTAGGAGCAGGGTGGAGGGTAGCAAGGGGAGGAGGAGGCGGGCGAGTGGGGTGCTGGAGAGGGGCGCGGAGGAGTACTGGCGGGAGATTCGCATGGCGCAGGCTGCACACGAAGCGGTGAGAATGGGTGGAATGCGGTGCGGTTGGGGTGAAGGATGGGTTTGAATGGGGCAGGCTACACCTCCTTCCTCTCTCGTGACTGCCACACCCACGCCAGCAACAACACCTCGGGAGCAGGAAACTCCTTCCACGTGTTGCAGCACAACCCTTCGATAAGTCAATTGAGTCGACTCAGAGAGCAACAACAACCTCAGGAGCGGAAACTCCTTCCTCCTTCCACACCACCACCTCTCGGGTTCCCGCTGATTCTCTCTCCCCGTGCAAACCCATGCCGCTCACAACCCTTGTTTTGAGTCGACTCAAAACTACGTTATTCTCTCTCCCCGTGCAAACCCATGCCGCTCACAACCCTTGTTGTTGCGGTAGCCTTTGAGCATTCTCTTATACCACCTGTAACGTCTCTCACCTTCTGCTGCTGCTTCTCACTCCCCCTCTCTTCCCCTCAACTCTCTGATTTTCTCTTGCATTCCACAGGCACATGCGCGCCAGAACCCCTTCACCTCGCTCACCTCCTTCCTCTCCCACGACAATCACACCCACGTCGCCGACACCACCACCGCTGCTGTTTCTCATTTCCCTTTCTCTTCCCCCACTTGCTCTATTTCTCTCCCCCCTTGCAGGCCATGCGCGCCAGAACCCCTTCACCTCACTCACCTCCTTCCTCTCGCAAGACAATCACGGCCACGTTGCGACACCACCACCGCTGCTGACGCCGCCGCTGCTGCTGGTCGGTCCAGGAGTGGCATCACCGGCAGGAGTGACAAGGACGACAGGTAAGGCGATTGTTATCCCATTATATAACTCTCACACGGACACTGACAGCGTTATCTAACTCACACACTCAACACTCGCGTTAGCACCACCACCGCTGCTGACGCCAGCTGCTGCTGGTCGGTCCAAGAGTGGCATCACTGGCAGTGACAAGGACGACCGGTGAGATTCGCCAGATTTACCACTCTCATCCTCTTACTCTACTCTCACACACACTCGCACCCAGGACAACACTGTCGTGTGTCTCTCACAAACAACCACACCCACTCTAACACCGCGACGCTGCTGCTGCTGCTGGTCGTTGCGAGAGGCATCAGTGGAAGTGACAAGGAAGACAGATGAAACTTGCCACGCTTCCATCGTCTCACCCCCACACACTCTCACACCCACGCCAACACCATCGCCTAACTCGCACAATCAACTCCACCGCTGCTGAACCCCTTTGCACCCATACCATTCCCCTCCATCTTTCTGCTGTTTCCCTGCTTTGCCAGCCCCATTGAGATCACAGCAAAGAGCACATAGCAGCAGTCGCCTCCCATTTAAATGGCAGTCCCCTCAAACCTCTTCCTGCCATCCATCTTATTCCCTCTCCCTCCTACCCTCTGCCGCTTGCTGCTACCAACAGTCCCATGGAGATCACAGCAGAGCACATAGCAGCAGTGGCCGCCCACTGGACCGGCAGTCCCCTGCAGCACCTCTCGCTCTCCGACCAGCAGCACCTCGCAGGGCTGGAAGAAGCACTAGAGAGAGACACTACCACCCCCTGACTCTTCTGTTGTCTCCTTCCTCCGCTGCCTTTCCCCTTGTGCTACTATTCCCCTGTTCCAGCCCCACGCACATCACAGCAGAGCACATAGCAGCAGTGGCCGCCCACTGGACGGGCATCCCCCTGCAGCAGCTCTCGCTCTCCGACCAGCAGCACCTGGCAGGGCTGGAAGAGGCGCTGGAGACGCGCGTGGTGGGGCAGGGGCAAGCTGTGAGGGTGATAGCACGCGCGGTGCAGAGGGCGAGGGTGGGGCTGAAGGGGGAGGGGAGGCCGGTTGCGGCTCTGCTGTTCTCGGGGCCGACTGGGTGGGGAAGACGGAATTGTGCAAGGCACTGGCAGCTCACTACTATGGATCGGTGAGTGGCAGTGGGGTGCGGTGAAGGGGGTTAAGAGGGCGGTGCAGAGGGCCGTGGTGGGGCTGAAGGGGAGAAGGAGGCCAGTGGGTGGCTCTGCTGTTGTCGGGACCCAATAGGATGTGACCGCTAGCGCCACCACTCCTGTTCTCCACTACACATGGTGAATAGTGGTGGGGTACGGTGCAATGCGTGCAAATCCCCCTTGCTCTCGGCCGTTCCGCATTGCTGCCAGTCTCTGCCTGCCATGCCACAAAGACAGGTCTCCATCCCGCATTGCGCTCATCCTGTGCCTTCCAGGAAGATTCCATGATCCGTCTAGACATGTCTGAGTTACATGGAGCGCCACGCTGTCAGCAAGCTGATTGGAAGTTCAGGTCTATTTCCCCTATCTGCATTTTCCCACACTGCCATAAATGACTTCTCCAGGAGGATTCCTTGATTCGTCTCGATATGAGCGAGTACATGGAGCGCCACGCTGTCAGCAAGCTGATTGGAGCGCCGCCCGGCTATGTGGGGTACGGCGAGGGCGGCAAGCTCACGGAGGCCGTCCGCAGGCGGCCGTTTTGTCTTATTCTCCTGGACGAGATTGAGAAGGCGCACCCGGACGTCTTTAATCTCCTGCTGCAGATATTCGAAGACGGACGACTGACCGATTCGCAGGTGGGTGTGTGTGTATGCGTGGTGGCTGGTGGGTGGGTGTGGGGTGTGTGTGCGGTGTTGTATTCTCCTGGACGAGATCGAGAAGGCGCACCCGGACGTCTTTAATCTCCTGCTGCAGATTTTTGAAGACGGGCGGCTCACTGACTCGCAGGTGGGTGGGTGTGTGTGTGGAGTCTTGACTTATCAAGGTGCACTCCGACGTCTTTAATCTCCTCTCGCAGTATTTGAAGATGGCCGACTTACTGACTCACAGGTGTGTGTTTCTACACAGGCGGCTGACTGACTTGCAGGTGGGTGGGTAGAATGTTGTAAGGGTCTGGTATGGGCAACAGCTTCGTGTGAGGGTCCCACAATCTTGCAAAATGGGAGAATTTTATACTTTCCTGGTGTCTCTATTTGAAGAGGGCATTTTCTGGTACCCACTGCGTCAGCTTCCTCTGATGCTCCCCTGACTCACTCTCCCGGATCCCCCTCGTAACTCCCCCCTCTTACACCACCCCTCATTTTCCCGCTCAACCCTCCTCTCCTCTCCCCATACCAATCCAGGGCTGCCACGTGTCCTTCAAAGACGCCCTGATAGTCCTGACGTCCAACGTGGGCTCACAGAACATCGCAAAGCGGGGGCTCTAATCACAGCGGCTTCCTCTAATGCCCTGACTCCCAGTTTTGAGGCGCCTCAAACTGACTCCCTCCCTCCATACAAGCACTCCCAGCAATGCTCGCCTCCTCTGTTTTCTGCCCTTCCATTCCCGTCTCCTCCCCCCTCGCCATTGACAAATCCAGGGCCGCCACGTGTCGTTCAAGAACGCCTGATAGTCCTGACCTCCAATGTGGGCTCTCAGGCCATTGCGAGAGGCGGCACCCACCGCATCGGCTTCCTCTCGCCAGGGGATTATGCGGCTGCTGATGGGAATGGGGGAGAGGTGGCGGGAGAGAGGCGCGGGCGGATGCGGGGCGATATGCGGCGATGAAAGAGGTGGTGATGGGGAGTTGAAGGCGCACTTCCGGCCGGAGCTGATGAACCGCAGCGACGAGGTGGTGGTGTTCCGAGTGCTCGAGAAGGAACAGGTGAGCATTGGGGCACATGGGGGGCTATATGCCGCGATGAGGAGGTGGTGATGGAGGAGCTGAAGGGCGTTTTGGCCGGAGCTGATGAACCGCATCGACGAGGTGGTGGTGTTCCGAGCGTTGGAGAGGGGAGCAGGTGAGCACGTGTGAATAGGGAGGGAGAGGACTGGTGCGGAGCTGATGAACCGCATCGATAAGGTGGTGGTTTTCACTGAGCGCTGGAGAGGCAGCAGGTGAGAAGCGAGGGAAGGAAAGAGCATGTGCGTGCGCATGTATATGTGTGTTTGTCTCAGAAGGCAGATGCGGGGCCATATGCGATGGTGGTGTTCCGAGCGTTGGAGAGGGAGCAGGTGAGAGTGTGTGAATTTAGTGGCAGATGTGTTAGTGTGTGAACAAAGTGAGTAGGATGCTGTGAGGGAAGTCATCTGGTGATGACTGCATTGGTGGAGAGGGGGTATAGAGAGACAGGTGAGAAAGGCCGGAGAGGAGGGGGCGGTCATTTGTAAGAGAAACTGAATCAGGAAGTGGTGATGGGCTGATGAAGTGGATCGATTGGAGCAGCGCTGATAAGGCTGACAGGGATGGCTGTACTGTACCCAGCCCTGACAAGGAAAAAAAAAATTGAGACGTCTCAAAAGGGATGGCGGTTCCTTTGGCGGTTCCCAACTCACTAGATCCGAGTGATTGCAACTTGATGATGTGAAGTTTTTGTTTGGCTTGCCCAAGAGAGGATCAACCTGGAACTCTCGAAAGCACTCACGGCGCGGATTTGTGGGAGGAGTGGTACAACAGGCCAATACAGAAGCTTATTCCGTCATCCCCCCCACATGTTTTCTGGTCCCCCAATTCCCAGATCCGAGTAATTTCCGACATGAGGAATCAGCTGAACGTTTCAGAGGCACTTGAGCCATTCACCTATTTCTCTCACCCATTCCTCCCAATCTGAGCAATTGCCAACATGGTGGTGAAGAAAGGAAGTCGGCTGATAGACTCGCTTCAAATAGCTCAGGGAAGTGAAGTTCTCAGGCATGCGAGTAAACTATTGGCACTCGCGAAAGGTTAGGTTGCGAAGGCACAGCAACAAGCTCCTTCGTGTGGTCGAGAAGGCTCATGAAAATCCCGACCGCAAATAAGAGTTTCTTTCGTGCATTTGCAAGCTGACCTTTTGCGAGTGCCATCACTTCACTCGATGTTTGAAAGCTTCACTTTCCTAAACCGATTGCCGACATGAGGACTTAACCTGGACCTTTCAGAAATACACAAAACAATAACCCCTTCCTCCCCCCGTCCCTCCAGATTTGAGTCATTGCCAACATGATGTCAAAGAGTCGGCAGTTGGGTTTGCCAAGAGAGGAATCAACTTGAAATTTCCAGAAGCGCTCATGCAACAAACCCCTCATTCCCTGCCTCCTTTCTTTTCTTGTACCTTCTCTTGTCCCACACTTCCCTCCAAATGCGAGTGATTGCCAACATGATGATCAAGGAGTCAGTCGGTTGACGTGCTTGCAAAGAGATTATCAACCTGGACGTTTTAGAAGCTCTCTAACCATTCACCCCTTCTCTTCCCCCTTTTCTCCCCCTTCTCGTCCCCCTTCCCTCCAGAATCCGAGTGATTGCCAACATGATGGTGAAGGAATCAGCTGACCGTTTGGCCAAGAAGGGAATCAACTTGCAAGAGTCGGAATCACTCGTAGATCAAAACACCCCTCTTCCCTGTCCCCATCTTTTTTCTTGACCCTCCTCCTGTCCACCAATTCTATCCAGATCCGAGTAATTGCCACCATGATGGTCAAGGAGTCAGCTGATCGTTTGCCCTGAAAGGAATCAACCTGGAAGTTTCCGAGGCGCTCATGGAGCGAATCTGCGAGGAGGGGTATGACAGGGCGTACGGGGCGCGCCCGCTGCGACGTGCCGTCACACGATTGGTCGACGATCCGATAAGCGAGGCTGTGCTGGCAGCTGAGGGGAGCAGCAGCAGCGGCCGCAACCGCCACGTCAGCAGCAATGACCTGTCGGAATCCCTGCCGTCCGTTCCCTCCGTGCTGCTTCCTGTGATCGCAGCTCACGCTGCAACAAATGCCCCCACCCCTGCTGCTGACGCCAGCGCACCCCTCAGTGATGTCAGCGGGGTCAGGGAGGGTGCGTTTACACCTGGCGACACGGCACTGGTGGATGTGGGGGGGGATGGGGAGCCGGTGGTGATCCGACTGCCTCGCCCTGACGTGTGTGAAATGGGCTGTGTCTTCCCTTCCTCAAACTGGCTGTTCCTGCTGCTCCCACCCTCTCCCTCCCTGACTAAGGGGCGCATGCGGACATGCTTGCATGTGGCAAACCAGGTTGCCTGTGTGATGGGGATGTGCCTTTTTCTTCCAGTAACTCCCTGCTCCTGCTGCGTCTTCTTTCCCTCCCTGAGTATCTCTCTCTGCCCTCCTGACTAAGGGGCGTGTCTTCTGTGTATAGTAACCAGGGTGACTGTATAGGTGGTGAATCAAATGGTTGGTGGTTATGCACTGCCAAAGGACCCAACAACAGGCGGTGGTGGCTGCAGCAGATGGGCTGAGGAGAGGAATAGGGCTTATGTAGATTTGTATATAATGGGTGACGTGCGGGGAGATTGCTGACCTTCATGTGAGGATTGGTCTGTGCCACGCATTGAAGGATGGTGGCAAATTATGAGCATATCTCAACTTTGAAACAAACTGAAGGCGGTGTGTGGTCCGGGAGTATTTTCATGCAGTTTGATTGGATTTAATCTGTTCAGGTGGTGAATCAAATGGTTGGTGGTTATGCACTGCCAAAGGACCCAACAACAGGCGGTGGGTGGCTGCAGCAGATGGGCTGAGGAGAGGAATAGGGCTTATGTAGATTTGTATATAATGGGTGACGTGCGGGGAGATTGCTGACCTTCATGTGAGGATTGGTCTGTGCCACGCATTGAAGGATGGTGGCAAATTATGAGCATATCTCAACTTTGAAACAAACTGAAGGCGGTGTGTGGTCTGGGAGTATTTTCATGCAGTTTTGATTGAGTGTTGAGTCACTTGTAAGAAAGTAGTTTCTATGTACCGGTAGGTTTTATTCGACTACATTGGCTTGCTTCGTACATGGGAATGAAGTGCAGGTATATTTGAAGGCGAAGGTAGTGTTTTTCCCTCAACCCACATCCTCCGTGATGCTCGTCAAGCCATCCACCGTAGCGCACGGAATAGCTTGCGGCTAATTAGCGAAACATGTGCACATGACGACGCATGGATGCTTTTGAAGCAAAACAAACTCATGAGCAAGAGGGTCTTGTCCAGGCGCTCTTGATAACGGGGTAGCCATTCCATTTCCCAATTGCTGGTCGCCTCGCTAACCGTCATGATCCGATCGTACGCCGTCGCCATCGCGTTGCTGCTCGCCGGAGCATCTGTCGTCCACAACATCTACAAGCCAGACCTGGTAACCACCACGTTCACCGTCATGATTTGTTGATGACTGCGTTGACCGTCAGTGCAGAGATTTCTGCTCTTAACGGGAGTTGGAGCTCTACGAAATGCTTCTTTGCAGCCACGCAAACTTGTTGTTCACTAAGGAGAAATTTGGCTAAGTGTTGAGAAAGGCATAGCTTTGGCACACAAAGAGAATTCACTAGAATAGAATAAAAATAGAATACAAGGGGTAAAGAACTACCCAACCACTGAACCTACCAAGAGAACGTTCTCACCTAGAACGTTTAGATAACTACTACTTAGCTGCGCTTTGCCAAGTCAGCATCGGCAGGTGAAAATTACAACACATGCTTAGTTGGTAATTTTTACCTACCTAAAAGTAGTTATTTTAACTGTTAAGGTTGTTTTAAACAACTTCTGTAACGCACGTTTTCGTAGTTACGAAAACGTGCGCCAGGTTCAGTTTGCTCAGGTGGTTCAATTCGCCCCCAGATTGAACACCCAAGTTCACGCACTGTTTCCGGGGTCAATTTCTCAATGTCCGCAATGTTCCGAAATTCCACGCAAAAGTTCCGAAACGATCGCACTTTCGCATCGGAGGGGTTCGCCGGTAGAAGACTTGGTCCTCTGCAGAATTTCGCTTCTGCAGATGCGCCTTCTTCTGCAGCTCCGAAATCTCTGCAGATGCGCCCTCCTCTGCAGCACCACGATCTGCTCTGCAGAGTCGCCCTCTTCTGCAGACTCAATTTCTGCAGACACGCGTTCCTCTGCAGCAGGAGTTCATTTCCGCTTCTGCGAAGTACTTCTGCTGCAGTGCAGGGCTCCGCCCTGTCTTTTGCGATTTCCGCTTCGTAGAATTTTGCGTCCCCGCAGAACTCGACGACCCTCTGCAAGGTCAGTGCCAATCTCAACAGTCAGGAGTTGGTAACGACCGAGATGCCGTTAGGTCTCCACTTTATATCCAGCATTTTGTTTTGATTCCGCCAATCTGGAGAATCAGTAGCTATCACAATGACCCCTGCGACCCTAATCAGGGATACAAGGAGCTACAGCTGTGATGAGTGTTTCAGTACTGTTCTTGCGTTTGGGTACCTTTCCGATCCCGTCATGCTCTTCAGGAGATTAATTAATCTCGCTCCCTCCCCCGACCATCCATGCTTATTGATGCTGAAACTTCTGACAGACTATACCCGGTGCTGTTAGCGGCAGGGAGCGAGCGGAGAACGCGGAGACTCAAAAGGCCGGGGGAGGCGAAGAGAGAGCTACAGCTAACCAGTACCGAGGCCAACACGAATTCAGCCTCGACAGTTCCTAGGCAAAAACAATAAACGAGACAGTGAACCCTGTTGGCAAATGCCATATTGCTGTTATCATCTCTTATACATTCAATATAACAGTATTCCCTAAACCCAGAAACGAACATCTGGGGCAACAATGATTTGATAGAAAAAACTGATGTTCTAGCATCTGAAGAAACTCCTTAATTCATCTACGACACCCATTGGTTGAGAAGGTCTTGAGTGGCTTCGCCAGAGAACTGTTGGAGAGAGATGTCTCACGAGCCAAGCTGGAGAGGGCGAGAGCGGGATTGCGTGGGTTCCAAACAGGTACTGCCCTGCTACTTGCTCCTGAATGAGTATGAGAAGGGAAGGAAGAGATGGATAAGGAAAGAAGTGGAAAGGAAAGGGAACGGAAGGGAAGGAAAGGAAGGGAATTTAAGGCCAAGGGTTCATACACAAGAAAACCATCATTGGTCAAACAGGAAATTGGGAGAAGTTGGGGGTAAGTGGAGGTAAGAAAGGGACAGAGGGGAAGTGGGGGTGGGGGGGTCAGCAGCGAGGGGAAGGGCGAAGTGGGGGGAGAGGGGGGGAAGACGAGGAGGGGCGAAGCAAGGGGAAGGAGAGAAATAGGCCTGGGGTACAGTGGAGGTGCAGAGGAAAAAAAAGGGGCGAGGGCGTGAGGGAGGGAGAGGCTAGTAAAAGCCAGCTGAGAGCATTGGCGTGTGTATGGGGTATAGGTTGAGTCAGAATTGTCAAAGGATACACGAACGTTAGGTCCCACGGGTCCTCACTCATAGGGAAGAGCAGCAAGGGGGTATAGGTTGAGTCAGAGAGTCAAGCGGCTGTTGTCAAAAACAACCTGTAACAATGGGGTGTTTATGGGGTAGAAGTTGGGTCAGATTGTCAAAGAGCATACCTGGGGAGCAGTAGAGGCGCGGAGGAAGAGAGGGACGAGGGCGCGAGGGAGCAAACAGAGGCCGAGGAGGGAGAAGATGTTGTTGACTGTGGCTGCGAGAGGGAAGGTAGCTCCCTTAGTACTGCAGTTCGCACCATGCCAGGGTCTATGGGGCTGGAATGGGAGGAAGCGGGGGGGACAGCACAGGAGGGTTTAAGTAAAGGCCAAGGAAGAGATGGTGTTGACTGTGGCTGCGAGGAATGAGAGTAGCTCCCTCAACACTGCAGTGCGCACCATGCCGGGGTCTATTGGTCTGGAATGGGAGCAGCGGGGGTCACGTGAAGTGGGGAGGGGGGGGAAGATGGAGTTGACTACATGACTGTGGCTGAGAGAAACGAGGGCAGCTCCTCAGTACAGCGGTACGCACCATGCCAGGGTCGATGGGGCTGAAGGGAGGGACAGAAATAGAGGATAGAGCATTGACTGAGTTGACTGCGTTGACTGTGGCTGCGAGGAAGGAGGGCAGCTCCTCAGCATGACGGGGCATGGGCAGCTCTCTCTGCCAGGGTCTATGTGGCTGGAGGGGGGGGGGGAGGAAAGAAGTAAAGAAAGGCTGTGTTGATTGTATTTCACTGTGGCAGAGAGGAACGAGGGCAGCTAACACAGCACGGCAGTTCGCACCATGCCGGGGACTACGGGTCTGCTTGGGGTGGCAAGAGGGGGAGAAAGGATAGGGGTCAGAAGAGCAAAGAGAGAGCATGGGCTGTGTTGACTGTGGCTGCGAGGAAGGAGGGAAGCAGGGAGTTTTTGAGAATTCTCAAACGCTCAGCACAGCAGTGCACACCATGCCGGGGTCTATGGGTCTGCAAGGGGTGGCGATAAGGAAAGCCGGGCAGTTGAGGGCAGAAGAGAATTATACACATGGGAATAAATAGAAAGCAGTTGAGGTAAATTTGGTGGAGGTAGGCACACGAGAAAGTATAGGGAGAGAGAGGCTTACACGACAGAGATGTGACACATGAGCACAGAACATACCGTTGCAAAGTCTAAGACACGGTAAGGGCAGTGGAGGCAGGCACACGAGAAAGTGTAGGGAGAGAGAGGCTTACACGACAGAGATGTGACACGTGGAGGGCTCTGATTGGAGGAGACGCTGAAGGTGCAGTGAGAAGAGGAGCAGGCACACTGCAGGCAGGAAGGCAGCAGAGCGTAGCAAGAAACGGAGTTAGCCGTTGGAGCGTGTTGGCGGAGCATGCAAGCACGCAGCATACAGTATCCACACAGCTAGTGCAGGTAGCGTTTTCAGTCGACTCAAAAGTCGAGTCGACTCAAAGTCACCTCGAGGGTGAGGTGGGAGGAGAATGCAAGCAAGCAAGCATGCAGTATCCACAGCTAGTGCAGGTACCGGCATTGGGGACTTACAGAATGTGCACCGAACAAAAAACTATATACATACAATTGGAGGCCTGGTATATGCTGGCTGCAGGGTAGAACAGAGGTGGGGGTGAGCTAGAGAGAACATGCAATCATACACATGCAACGCACACGTACGTCCATACACACGTTAGGTTGGGGTTGCGACCTTATAATAAGACCATACATACAATTGGAGGCCTGGTATATGCTGGCTGCAGGATAGAACAGAGGCGGGGGTGAGCTGGCAGGAGCGTGCGAGCATGCACCATGCACAGCATACACGTACATGTACTATGTGTGTAAAAAAACAAATCTATATACATACGTTTTGAGGCCTGGTATATGCTGGCTGCAGGGTAGAACAGAGGCGCGGGTGAGCTGGCAGAAGCATACGAGCAATCATGGATGTAAGCATGCACCATGCACACAACACATCACGCCCAGACATACGTTTGGAGGCCTGATATATGCTGGCTGCAGGGTAGAATAGAGGCGGGGGGTGAGTTGGCAGGAGCATACGAGCAAGCAACCATGCACCATGCATACGGCACTCGTGTTGACACGTACGTTTGGAGGCCTGGTATATGCTGGCTGCAGGGTAGAACAGAGGCGGGGGTGAGCCGGCAGGAGCAGCAGCGCCTGCTGCTAGAGATGCCACGTCAGACACGTACAGCTGGCGCACTGGTATTGGAGGAAAGCGGGGAGGAGGGGGTGAATGAAGAGGAAGGGTGGCAGAGAGCCTTAATCATATGACAGTGCAACACATGTAGTGAGAGAGGGCACAGAAGGGGGTACTATTCTACAATCACCTGTGTGAAGTAGGCTTTTCCTACTTGCTTAAACATACTCCTAAGCAGCGCTGCTGACTGGAATTATGTCCGAAGACGTACTGTTCTACAATCACCTGTGTGAAGCATTGCCAGCAGCGCCGGGGTGTTTTGGGGGTCGCCTGCTGGCAATGCTTCACATAGTTGATTCGATGGTAAATTACTGCCGGGGTCGACTCCATGAATGCGTTTGTCAACATGCCTGATTGATGAGTGAGGGATGTCACATTGACAATGCAGCTACTACTCATTCTCGCCATCGATTCCCTCACAACGTTTCTAGGCAACGTTGCATGCGACCCCCTTCCCCCCCGCCACTCCCCCCACCCCCCCCCCCCCCCCCAAAAAAAAAAAAAAACACACACACACACAAAAAAAACATCATGTGGATGGTTCACCTGATCTATGCGTGAAGGAAGTCACATTGACTACGCGGCATTTCAGTCTCTCCTCCGCCTCCCCACATGCGCCTGTGTTGTTCCCTCCATGTGCATGTGCTTGTAAGGAGGGCGCTCGTCTTCCCATGAGCGGCAGCAGGCGGAGTGTGAGTAGCACAGGCCCGAGATAGTTGGTTGCTAGCATGCTGCGATGACCAATAAGTGGGGGAGACGAGAGGGGCAGAGAGGTGACTGTATGTGAGGGGCGCAGGCGGAGCGTGAGCAGGACAGTCCCGAGGTAGTTGGTTGCTAGCATGCTGCGATGACAGAGGACGGATGAAAAACAGGAGGGAATCACAACAAGGAGTAGACGGAAAGGAAGGTTTGAGTGGCAGCAGGCAGAGTTGGTGGCTAGCATGCTGCGATGACCGAGGACGGAGGGAGGACACAGGGGATTCGCAATGGGGAATGGAAGGACAGGACGGAATGGTGAGGGGCAGCAGGCAGAGCGTGAGCAGGACCGGGCCGAGATAGTTGGTGGGTAGGATGCTGCAGACACCGATGAGCAAGGGAAACGAGGGGCGATTCGAACGACGGGCTGGCATACGAGAGGGGCAGCAGGGGGGGCGTGAATAGAACAGGGCCGAGGTGCTTGGTAGCTAGCATGCTGAAATGACCAATGAGGGGACGACACAGGGGATTCATAATGAGTGGCAGCTAGCAGGTGGAGCGTGAGCAGAGCAGGGGGGGCATGGTTGGTGGTTAAGGTGCTGCAGTCACCACTCAGCAAGGGGGAAGGGGAGCTGGGATCGTACCGGTCAACTGGTAGAGAGGCAGGTGCAGAGCGGTGGGAGGCGGTGGGAGAAAGGATGCCGGCATTGTTGACAAGGAGGCATAAGGGAGGCATGGAGAGGGAACTTGAGCCATACGCGTCTGCCATTGCTGCTGCTGCTGGCCCAGAGAAACCCCTTTTCCTCCCCCTCCTCCCCCTCCTCCTCCTCCTCCTCCTCCTCCTCCTCTTCCTCATCTACTGCCTCTTCCTCCAGCCCCCGCTCCTCTCCACCCTCCTGGCTACCCTCTTTCGCCCTCCCCTCATTCTCTTCCTCTTCCCCTCCTCGTCTTGATCCCTGCTGTGCCTCCTCCAAACTGGAATTGCTTTCGAGAAGTCCAAAGATACTCCTCGCCTTTTCTCCCACCTTTTCAATCCCCTCCTCAGCACCAGTCATAACCGCATCCAGCCCTAGTTTCGAGCGCACGAGGTGGCAGAAACGGACAACGGATGCCGGCCGGGAGAGGTCGAGCGGCAGGACCTCTATCGACGCGTGGGGATGCTGACGAAGGATGTCGGCAGCTGCCTTCAGGGGAGGAACACGTGGCAGGATGCCGGGCGGCATTGTACGGAGGACATGGGTTTTCGGATTTGAGGTTGACAGTTTCCAGGGTATTGAGCTTCCCTTGAAGCTTGGGGTTAGGAGTTGGCATGGCACGAGTTCCCATGATAGCTAAGGATGCTTTATGGGAAAGCGTCTAAGTT